GTTCCTGTTGATAGTCATGATTAGTAGTAGCAGTATAGTCAGAATTTTCATTATTTATCAGAATATATGAATTTACATTTGGGCTGTATGTATACAAATTATTTTGTTCCGGAAGAATCTCAGAATTACTAGTTTTATTATCATTTCTATTTGTTAAAAACATGTTACCATTCCACTCTTTTGTGTCAAGATCATAATATATATTTGAATTCGATGGCTGATCAATAGGCTGTATATTATATTGTTGTGAATTTTCACTGATATTTTGAAAATTTTCATGTTGAACATTATATGGAAAATTGTTATTTTCATATTGGAAACTTTTGATATTGGAAACATTACTTGGAAAATGATTTCCTATGTCACACATTGCATCTATATGATTCTCTTCTTGCCTGTATACATTATCTATGAAATTCTGTTGATTTTCATTAACATTATTACAATACAAATTTTCATATGTATCTTTATTGTCACTATAGTGTAAATATTGTGTATCAAAACTATGTTTTAACTTGTTATCTAGAAAAACCGAAAACGATGGCAAATTTTCATTTACTTCAAAATGTCCATCCAACTTATATTTAATAAATAACATTTTTAACTCATCTCGTGTAAGTGTTGGATAGTGTGACAAATCTTGTAACATCAAATTCGACGATCCAAGTTGACATTCGTGTTCATCTTTGTTGTAGTTCAACGATAAATTGGAATTTTTAGAATTTTGCTGATATTCTATATTTTTGCATTTCTTCTCTAAAGCTGCATTGTGACGTTGCATCAATATCTTACGTTTTTTACTTTTTACATTTTTTACTTTACTTTTGATCTGCAAATAAATCAGTTCGTTTTTCTGATCACTGTAACTCTGTATTAGTATTTAAGTATTTTCAAATATTTGTATATCTTACCAAGTTATTGCCATCTTTCAGGGTACTGCTAGCATCTACTTGTTTATTGTTTCCACTGACTTGCATCTGTGACTTAAACTCTTTCTTTCCTTTAACCATATTGTATTTGAATAATAAATCAAATTTTTTCAAGCATAATATAATATTCACATGGAAATGTTTTAGTTAATTAAAACATAATGGAAATGTATGAACAAAGAAACTGTGATTTACTGTTAACAATTTTTCGAACTGCAATTAATTAGAAGCAATGAATTTCTCTGTAATACTTTTCTTTTGCGCCGCTGTATTCTCTTTTCAAAAGTGAATTTTCTTAACTGATTGGTGCTATCCCTTTTCTCATCCAAAGATATAGCGCGTTCGATATAAATGAAGAAAATATTGACTTTTAAGATCCTCGTGGACTCACCGAAATCATGGTAACGTTTTATTGTGTGTGATTCGATAAGACTGATGGAAATTCTAAACGCGATAGTGTTTTGTTTTCTTTATTACTGTCCTTACAGGAAACTTTTCTCGAACACCATTGTAGTTCGGTTCGAACTGGACACATTTATTGTAATTAGTACTCAACGATTAAAGATGTTAAGCGATTAAAAAATAAGAAGGGGATTGTAAACAAAGATAAGTTCATATACAAAATATTTTGTTTATTTTGTGGAAAATATAATAAGATAGTTTTTCCTTTTTTTATACAGAACCATACAAATACAGCTTGCTTTTCATTTGATTGTAATAAAAAAATATATTTAAATAATGACAACACGAAATATAAATATGAACCACAAAAAGATGATACACAAGTATTCCAAAAATTATTTATAACAATTAAGGCACTTGTTCTTCTCTTCATGATCATACCTAAAATAAAATAAACAAAATGAGCCTCTAATATATATTAGAATATGTTTAACGTAATGAAAATATATTTAGCATGAAATAGCTTACACTGGCAAAGAACAATTTTGACAAAATAGTTCTGAACAACTGATGCACTCGAACAAGCATGAATTACATAAAACTTGATCACAGTAAGAACATTTATTACGTGTATTTTGTTCTATAACACGAGTACATCCGCAAAGGTCATACTTCGGTTGAACATCCTTTAAAAAAATATTTTAAATAAAAATTAGATTAGTTTTGAAATTTCTCTTTAACAAAATATAAGACAGTTTTTAATAAATACATTTGAATTCTATAGAATAGATACAGAAGAAGCAAATAAAGAGCTTACCTTTATAGCTTTATCCGTTCCTAATAATTCTAATTTACTGTTTAGTACCATTTGCTTCGAATTATGTCCTTGTTTATTTTTACGAGGAGATGGTACTTTCGGTGAATGAATATCCATCGAATTCATGTCCATAGATGAATTTAGTCTACGAGATAACGATTTAACACCTTCTTTCAATAAATCCATTGTTCTACCTGTATGAAATAACAGAGCAAGAAATTTAAAAACGAACGTTTTGTTTATTTCATGTTAAGACCTCTATACCGTAAACGCTCTTCATTCGTTCCTCTTGGCAAATGCCATTATTGACATGTTTTTCTTCTACGTGTATCTTTAACTGTGGTGATAAATCTTCTTCAAATGGACACGCACGTTTCGGCATTCTTCAACAATTTAATAATTTCATAGCCCGCTTTAAGAAGCACGATCAACGTTTTCTCGGCATTGTCCTGCTCAAGCTTGAATGTAAATAGTGCTATGTTTATCTATTCTATTAAAGTAGAGTTCCAAATTACATACATAAATGTAATAATAATAAAAAAAAACTTCAAAGGAAGTTTTTATAAGACCTAGTTCCAGATATAGTGTTCGTTGGCTTATATCCTCTTTGCATACATTAATTTAATATGAAAAATTGTATCCTAATTTTGCCATAAATAATGATTTTCGAAAACTCTTCATTCTGTATATACGAATGATAGTGGCGCCTCTCGCGGCAAGTTTTCGAAGTTGCTTTCGGGGTCCGTACAGCGCCAATTAGTCGGGTGGCAAAACGCTCAAACTGTTAGCCAAAATTTTGGCTAGTAGTTTCAGCGTTTTGCCACCCGACTAATTGGCGCTGTACGGACCCCGACAGCAACTTCGAAAACTTGCCGCGAGAGGCGCCACTATCATTCGTATATACAGAATGAAGAGTTTTCGAAAATCATTATTTATGGCAAAATTAGGATACAATTTTTCATATTAAATTAATGTATGCAAAGAGGATATAAGCCAACGAACACTATATCTGGAACTAGGTCTTATAAAAACTTCCTTTGAAGTTTTTTTTTATTATTATTACATTTATGTATGTAATTTGGAACTCTACTTTAATAGAATAGATAAACATAGCACTATTTACATTCAAGCTTGAGCAGGACAATGCCGAGAAAACGTTGATCGTGCTTCTTAAAGCGGGCTATGAAATTATTAAATTGTTGAAGAATGCCGAAACGTGCGTGTCCATTTGAAGAAGATTTATCACCACAGTTAAAGATACACGTAGAAGAAAAACATGTCAATAATGGCATTTGCCAAGAGGAACGAATGAAGAGCGTTTACGGTATAGAGGTCTTAACATGAAATAAACAAAACGTTCGTTTTTAAATTTCTTGCTCTGTTATTTCATACAGGTAGAACAATGGATTTATTGAAAGAAGGTGTTAAATCGTTATCTCGTAGACTAAATTCATCTATGGACATGAATTCGATGGATATTCATTCACCGAAAGTACCATCTCCTCGTAAAAATAAACAAGGACATAATTCGAAGCAAATGGTACTAAACAGTAAATTAGAATTATTAGGAACGGATAAAGCTATAAAGGTAAGCTCTTTATTTGCTTCTTCTGTATCTATTCTATAGAATTCAAATGTATTTATTAAAAACTGTCTTATATTTTGTTAAAGAGAAATTTCAAAACTAATCTAATTTTTATTTAAAATATTTTTTTAAAGGATGTTCAACCGAAGTATGACCTTTGCGGATGTACTCGTGTTATAGAACAAAATACACGTAATAAATGTTCTTACTGTGATCAAGTTTTATGTAATTCATGCTTGTTCGAGTGCATCAGTTGTTCAGAACTATTTTGTCAAAATTGTTCTTTGCCAGTGTAAGCTATTTCATGCTAAATATATTTTCATTACGTTAAACATATTCTAATATATATTAGAGGCTCATTTTGTTTATTTTATTTTAGGTATGATCATGAAGAGAAGAACAAGTGCCTTAATTGTTATAAATAATTTTTGGAATACTTGTGTATCATCTTTTTGTGGTTCATATTTATATTTCGTGTTGTCATTATTTAAATATATTTTTTTATTACAATCAAATGAAAAGCAAGCTGTATTTGTATGGTTCTGTATAAAAAAAGGAAAAACTATCTTATTATATTTTCCACAAAATAAACAAAATATTTTGTATATGAACTTATCTTTGTTTACAATCCCCTTCTTATTTTTTAATCGCTTAACATCTTTAATCGTTGAGTACTAATTACAATAAATGTGTCCAGTTCGAACCGAACTACAATGGTGTTCGAGAAAAGTTTCCTGTAAGGACAGTAATAAAGAAAACAAAACACTATCGCGTTTAGAATTTCCATCAGTCTTATCGAATCACACACAATAAAACGTTACCATGATTTCGGTGAGTCCACGAGGATCTTAAAAGTCAATATTTTCTTCATTTATATCGAACGCGCTATATCTTTGGATGAGAAAAGGGATAGCACCAATCAGTTAAGAAAATTCACTTTTGAAAAGAGAATACAGCGGCGCAAAAGAAAAGTATTACAGAGAAATTCATTGCTTCTAATTAATTGCAGTTCGAAAAATTGTTAACAGTAAATCACAGTTTCTTTGTTCATACATTTCCATTATGTTTTAATTAACTAAAACATTTCCATGTGAATATTATATTATGCTTGAAAAAATTTGATTTATTATTCAAATACAATATGGTTAAAGGAAAGAAAGAGTTTAAGTCACAGATGCAAGTCAGTGGAAACAATAAACAAGTAGATGCTAGCAGTACCCTGAAAGATGGCAATAACTTGGTAAGATATACAAATATTTGAAAATACTTAAATACTAATACAGAGTTACAGTGATCAGAAAAACGAACTGATTTATTTGCAGATCAAAAGTAAAGTAAAAAATGTAAAAAGTAAAAAACGTAAGATATTGATGCAACGTCACAATGCAGCTTTAGNGTTAGCCAAAATTTTGGCTAGTAGTTTCAGCGTTTTGCCACCCGACTAATTGGCGCTGTACGGACCCCGAAAGCAACTTCGAAAACTTGCCGCGAGAGGCGCCACTCGTCGAAAAGGGCGCTATTTTTAAATTTATAAAAACACCAAAATGATTCGTGTCGCATTTTATATTGTACAATCTTATTGACGAATTTATCGTATATTCTGTACATGTAATAAATTCTTCTAAGTCATGGTTAGAATGGACTGTTGATATAATATCTCAAAAAACAAAAGAATATTTTATAAGAAATCGTCTGAACCGAAAATTAATCGATAATGAATTGACTATTAATTAGATTTGGAAAAAAGAGGGATTGATAATAATTACGATGGCAAACTCGAATTGAAACTTTATGAAGAAATAGTATAACACACACGCACACACACACACACGCACACAAAAATTGGCTTCTCAGAAATTTACTGTAGCGGTGTAAAATGTAAACTGCAATACAAGAAGAGAGTAATGTATTCGTACATTGAATAAATACAATAATCAGAATTTAACAATGTAACAAAAAGTTTATTCTTACATAAATGTATACAATAAATAAAGATTAATGATGTAAGGCATTCGTGTTTCAATACGCTGTAACAATCTATAAATCTTATATTGCCGATGTAAAATTATTCCTTTAAACAGTTTGCCGCGGAAAAATTGAACATTAAATACAACGATTCTGCAACCTGTTGAAAGTCGAGTATCGACGAGGTAGATCACATTCGATTCAATACTTTTCGATAACATCGTTGTTGTTAGCCTAGAGGTACAACTGGAGTGAAATCTTAGGCTTGATTTTATTTACAAACGTAGCATAAAGTGTCATAAGCATGGAATCCCATTATTTTTAATGTTTCTCTGCAAGATGACGTCCACCCTGTCTCGGTTTCTCGTATTAGATAACATATTTTGTTAGCCTTAAAACAAGGGGTTAGGTTTATACCGATAAGCCACAGAAAAAAGCTATGGAGTTTATAATAAATCGACTAAAAGCTCTTGTAGTACTTCTCCTGGGAATATTCAGACGAGCCATGTGTTGTCTTCGACGTCGACGTAGATCATCCTGCGATTCAATCCCGTTGTCAGCGGTTGGTGTGGTTCCAAGTACTACAAACAACACAGCAGTGAGTTTCATACATTGCCATTATCCTCTGTTTATTGTATCTCACGATTTCAAGATCATGTAAACCCTATTGTACCACTAACTTCGATAATAGTAATCACTGAAGATGCTTGCTCAAGGAATCAGAGCAGTGGGATCAATGGGAGGAAAATCCCGTTGTTGTTGTGCCAGACAAACCAGTGAATACGATACAAGCTAAAATCGAGCAATATAGACAGCAAGCATCTAAGCCGACCGACGAGTCAGAAGAGCAACAAGCGAATTTCTTCGAGGTAATTTGCAGCACGCTTAATTTAAAAGGACTAACAAACGCATATAAGGACCTAATATTTTATGTTTTCCTCAGGACATGACGCCGAGGATTACCAGACAAACTAAAATTTTAGTAAAAGATAAGAAGTCAGAAACTGTTTCATGGAATTCTTCGAAGTTTGCCATAATTAATGATCCTATATTATCTGTAAGTTAATATATTCCGCGAGAACTGTTCAAATACTTTTTAAGCATTCGTAACTTAATAATGAAAAAGTTTTATAAGATTATATTTACATAGAACGAACTCGAAGAATGGGAAGACAATACCGTTGGCTGGGAGGAAGAAACATCGAAGGAGTTTGGAGATCCTATAAAAACATTGAGAGAACAGAAGAGGCAGGAACGAGAACAGAGACTGTTCGAGCAACAACAAAAGAGACTCGAACGTAATTCCAGACCACAGCCATTAGGAGCAAAACTAACATCTTGATGAGAAAGATTACGGCCGTAACATTTTTTTATGACAGATCATACATTTTTATCTATCGACGTCCATGCATAAGAATTCTTCGACGTTGCATGGAACGTCGTACAAAGCCAAGAAATCAAAGAGTATTATAATTTACGTTATCGGTAACTGTTACGTTCTATTGTACATTTTATTCAACTATATGATGCAGAGCAGACATACCGCGGAAATATTTCATTTAAAGCGTTGAGATTTGTATTCTCATCTGTTTGTTGATTATACGCTGCATATGATGCATTTAAACTATTATTTGCTGTTCAATTGACGAGCTCGTAGTAGTATTTAACATTGTGAGAAGCAATGGATTTTTACCTTTAACGATGTTGTATTACGACATAACGCAAACGCAAAGGGCGGTTTCATGTGTGCAATTTGTGCGGTCTTTATATGAATTCTTTGTAAAACGATAAAAACATATTTGCCTTTTATTTTCGAAATGTTCTTCGCATTTAAAAGCATTCCGTGTAAATAGCCCAACATAATGCTGTTTAGAATCTCTGTTTCCATTCTAATTTGATCGAAAACAATTTTTTAATCTTTACAATGTATCGATCTCTGAATTTTTTAACAGAATCTAAACAGTTTCTATATCTATAAATATATTATGATTTTACTGGGAGCTGATATTGCAATGAAAATAGGCAACTAATGCTATAAAAGGACGGTGATTTTTATCATGGCTCCAAAATTTAAACTATGTTCGTTTAGTTTCTAGTGATACAAAATAAATCGTGGTGTTAAGTATGTTATAGTACCAATTGTATAATTTTTTTTACATATTCAACATGCAACGTCGTGTAAGTTCACCTTAACTCATAAAAATATGCAAGTGGCGATGGTCATTAGACCGAATAGCGATAATAAATGACCGTGCCATTTTTCGACGTATGTACCACCCGGTACTGCGTGTCGATAAAAAGTATATGACCGAACTGACTTTACCGTATTCCCAACCAGATAAGACCAACTTGGAAATGATAAGCACGAGCAAAAGCTGTACAGGATAGGGCAATATAATTTCCTTGTGAAGCCATTTCTCCTATTTTTACATTTCATAATAACGATTTTTCCCACCCTACCTAAAAATATACTGTACGCATCGAGCATAATTATAAGTCTTCGAATAAATCGCAAGTATACTCGAAACTTAAACAAATAAGTAAATGAAAATATTTTTCACAAAAAGTTCGATTATAAAACTTATTTAAATCTGCGCCAAGCATACGCCAAGCATGAAAGCATCCTACAATAAAGTAAGTAAGCTCTTCAATTTACTATAAAATTCAATTGTTTGGGCATAAATTATAAATGAACAATAACCGGTGAGGAATATTAAACTATTGAAAAAAGTTATACACACATGGAAATGCGAAAAGTACAAGTGATAAGGACTCTCGGAAATGCGAGACTAATAATAAAAATTAGTGAAATTTTAAGGAACGATAGATTGATTCATGTCGAACGAAACAAAAGGCTATCTTACAGATAAAGATTATTTATCCTACGATTAGCTATATCGGTTAGCAAATGTTGACCAAGAGGATAGATAAGTACATACGAGTATGTGGATCCTACAAAAACCACATGTTCGAAAAATAACCCACCCTCTTATTTTATACAAATTTTATACACGCGAAGAGCCATTTAAGTAATATTTAAATTTTGTTCCAAATAAATTAGGGACATACGAGTTTAAAAATAGCAGAAATGTAACTCTCGCAAACAAGTAGGTGAAAATCGATCGCCTTGGGTGATGATAACGCGAGAGTTCAGTATGAAGGTCGACGATATAAAAAATAAGCAGATTAAAATGTAAAATTATGCATATACTCGGAATTCTTTAATCTTCTACCGTTGCATTAATTTTTTATCGAATGCTGAAACAAATTTTTACCGAACAGGAATTGATCTCGAAGCGGAGATTCTATACAAAAATGATCATAAAAATTTTTCGTTTCCGATAATATCGATTTATCCTAGAACGGAACGGTGCAAGCAGTTCGTCATTAAAAGGAAAATGGTAAAACAAAATTCAAAATAAAAGAAAGGTTTGGTGCCTTTGAAGTTCGATTGAAAAGAAACAAGATTCCACATGCGCGGCAACTTAACGTATTTATGCTACCATCGATCAAAAACCGACAAATGAGCTTCCTCCTTTTAAATTACGTCATACGTGTGTCGTTGCATGCACGCATGCATACAATGTTGGGCACGAAACGTATTCTATGTACATACATAGAATAGAACGTAGTTAATGGTAAAAAGAATTCTATACATTTAAAATTATTTGGAAAATATTTTAGAAAATCTTTTCCAAGTCGACGAAGTTTTATACCTCCTAGTTTGAAGTCAACGTACACCGACGCTTTCGATTTTATATTTGAAACAGTAATTCGCGTCATAAGCTTGGACCCTCGACACTTTCTTCCGAAGGATTCGAGCTATTTAACTTAACGAATACAATACCCTTCCTGTTCGGCCCGCGTTCTCCTATAGACACCCTATATAAGTCTGCGGTTAGTTTTAGCTTTAGCTTGGCTATGTGCGGTTGACTCGGTTTCCGTCCGAGCATGGCAAATGGCAAACTTCAGTACGCACTAGGAAGATCGAAAAGATAGCGAGAACGACGACTGTACTGGACACTGGACTGTACTACGACGAGGATCGTGTGTTGTGTCGTGTCACTCGTGTTAGACAGGTAGCAAGCCAGTGTGGCGATTCGTCACAAATACAACACAAAGATCGTCGAACCGTATCCGTACAGGACTAGGTTCCAGGAGCCAGTCCTTTTCGATGAGCACTGCGAACACAACAGAAAAAGACTCGTGGCTGTCAGATTCTTCTTACCTTCACCCTTGACAACAAACATATGCAAATTCGAAATGTCAACATCAGGAGGTGAGCTGCCTCTCGATACCCAGTGAACGAGAAAATAGAATCACGCTACAGTCTAATCCCAATTGTTAGTTCTTCTGGTTTATATTTGCATTTGATCGTTAACCTCGCCGAATGACGAAAACGTTGTCAGTTACGCGGAATCGAGTTTTTCGAACAACAGCTTTCGATGTAGGACAACACGGTGATCCATCCTTTCGATGTGGGTAACCGTGAACGTATAAACACAAAGAAAGGGAGAGGGAGAGAAAAAGACGAAGAAAGACGGAGAAAAAAACCACTGCGTCCGAACGCGTTAAAAATTTCTCTGTGAAAAATCGGTCTCAGTGTTTCGATAGCCGCGAACGGGAAAAATTCTTGGCTCGTTTCAAGCGCATACGTTTGCCCAGCTCTGAGAATAATAGCCGCCGCCGATCATATGGTGAGAATGCTATCGTCTTTTAGCGGTTCTGTACGAATAGATAACACCGAATCAATTGGATGACTACAAAGTCGTCGAAGAAAAAGTCAATATCTGTACACACCAACGTGTATTTTTATCCGTGAAACACGATTCCGCTGGACGTTTTGTGTATACATACTCGAGAACGTGTACACAGACGTACTCGCATGATCGAAATTGATCGTGCGACACAATAGGTTACCGAATCTTTTTTTTTTCCAGATAAAGGTACCTGCTCTTGTTTAAAGGCGATGTGCCGTTTGATAAGGGACTTCTTCGATGGAACCTGTTTCATATGAATCATTTTTGTGATGCCCATCAATTTTGGAATAATGTAATCGGAAGGCGGTGCGCGCGCGCTTGTGTGTGTGTAACAAATAGTCTATTTTTATTGTAAATTGCAACACCAAACAGCAACAATGGGTTCCATCGCCTTGGAAGAGTACGAACTTATGAAAGACTCTAAATATAGAGTGTAAGTAGAACATACTACAACTTGTAAAGAATAGAAACCTAGCTATAATTTATTGTTATAAAACGGTAGATTCGATAAATGGGAACTATGTTTATAATATCTATAAATAATTATGCAATTAGAACAGTCGACTCGAGTTATCTAGGGTTTTACCACATAATTTGACTTTCTTCGCTAATTATGTAGACAGAATTAAATGTACCGAATATTTCTTACAGCTACGTGTCTGCCGTTGACAAAGCACTGAAGAGCTTCGAATACACCAGCGAATGGGCAGACTTAATTTCAGCACTAGGAAAGCTAAACAAAGTATTACTAAGTCATATGAAGTTTCCAGTTATTCCTAGAAGAATTAAAATATCTAAAAGATTAGCCCAATGTATGCATCCTGCTTTGCCATCCGGTGTTCATTTAAAAGCTCTAGAAACCTATGACATAATTTTTAAATGTATGGGCACTAACCGACTGAGTCACGAGCTCTTCATATACAGTGCCGGTAAGTTGAAATCGGCAGGCAAGATTTTGAATAGCAAAAATACGACAAGAATAATTTTCTATCGATCTTTTGTATAGGTTTGTTTCCATTGTTGGGTCATGCCGCTATGAATGTGAGACCATCCTTGCTCACAGTATACGAAACTCATTTTGTGCCTCTTGGAGAGAGATTACGGCCTGGATTGAGTGGTTTTTTAAGTGGTGTTCTTCTTGGTTTAGAAGATGGTTCCGATCATTTTGATAGGTACTAGTTGATTACATATTTCTATCGGTAAAACAAAGAAGCGAAGTTGATAATCAAAAATCTTTTTCAGGACTAATTCCTTGCTCGAAAAAGTTTGCGAAGGAGTGGGTCCAGAACACTTTTACGCGTGTCTATGGGATTGCTTAGCTTCAAATTCCGGAATTCGATTGCCTGCTATATCGTTTGTGTTAACACATTTCAATAAAAAACTGCCAATGGAAGAACAACGGTTCATCATGGGCACAGACACTAATATTATGGTAAATGAGTTATGCATTTAAATCAAAACGAATCGACTTTTGTTCGTTAATCATTTAAATTGTGGCATAGGTTACAGCCCTTTGTGCTGGGGTACAAGACAATTCAGTGTTAGTACAAAGAAGTGCTTTGGATTTGCTGCTAGTTGGTTTTCCTGTACATAATAGTCAATTAACGCGCGTACATATGATATCACTAGTCACAGCCGCTCTTGTCACTATATTAAGAAGAGACATGAGCTTGAATAGGTAAATTAAAAGAAGTAAACAGTACGCATAGAATGAAATCTGCTCTGATTTGTTGTCTTACGCATTAAATTTACGTTTGATCGTAGGCGTTTGTTTGCTTGGCTTTTGGGTACAGAAGTAAGCACATCTATTTTAAAGAGAAAAACGGTTAGTACCGTTTCCGAAACCACAGAAAATACACCCACTTATTTTGATATGTATTCAAAAGAGATGTTGATAGAGGCGATTAAAGCGTTACTGAAAAATGTGTGCGAGGAAAATCCACAAGATCTAAAACCATATAGAATATTGGTCTCGTTGTTGGAAAAGACAGAGATCGGGCCAGTGATTCTGGACGATATTTTATTTGAAGTTTTTAGGTAAGCAACATCGAACATCCAAATGAAAAATGAAATATCATTAACGTAAACGTTATAGTATCATTAACTGTTTTGCAACAGGACTTTTTACAACGCTTGTGGACAATCAAACAGAGTACCAAAAACTAACGAGGTAGTAAAATCAGCGAACTTATTGTTTTCAACGTTAGAACCGTCTTACGTTTGGATCCATTGCGGACATTTGTTTGAGAAGGCTTGTCAAGATAGAGCGAACAGTAAAAACGAGGCAGAAGATGTTATCGTAAGACCTGTAGGTAGCGGCGTACCAAATTTCATGGAAGTATGTATACTGACCGAATTCCTCCTGGACACGGTGTCGCTAGATGCATTTATCGATACTCCATCCGAGCACCTACCTGGTTTATTCCACGAAATTGTCAGTAAGCTTTTGTGTTACGTTGATCTTCTATCTCCTATGGAGATCTCGAGAAGCCTTAGATTATGCGCGAAAATCTTGTCCAAAGTGCAGCCCACTGTGGTGACCACTCACACGGACAAGAGCGAATTAGAAACAAAGTTTGAAGTTATCACGAACGCTAGCACCAGCGCAGCACCAAACGAGAACTCCTTGGCTGCGATCCCTCTAGAGAAGAGTCAATCCGATAGTAAATTAAATAAACCAGATACGTCGAGCGGCTCGTTTTCCGAGAAGAGTCCCAGTCCGAGGAGAAGAGCAAACTCGGGCGGTGCTGCTAAAAGATCGGACAAGAAATCGAAAAAGAAGTCTAGCAAAAGCACCTCCAAGCTGACCGATTCCACGCAAGACGCTAGCAACGCCGGCATATCTGTGGTGGTGAGCCAGGAGTCGAAAAGTTTACCAAGAAATAAAAGCATGGACGACATAAAAAGCGGTTGCATAGAAGCAAGTAGTATTAGTTCTCCGTCTAAGGATCAGTTGACTACGTTGAAGCAGTCAAGCAGAAGCAGTGCAATGGGTTCTACAGGATCCTTGGGCAGAGGACCGTCTCCAGCATTTCAAGCGCAGCACACAATGCTAGAGAAATGTTTGAGACAGTATGAGACTTTTTACGTTAAACTAATTAGCAACAGGGTACTGAGCAAAGAAAGAATGGTACAGGATATGTATGATAATTTGATAATTCCCATGCCGAGAGAGAGTTTCGACGAAAGGATGCGTTATTTGGAGCTTCTGCTAAACTCCAGATTAAATATGGAGGATTCCGGTTTCTTCAGCCAAGATGTGTCCGTGATAGACGATACCAAGCGACTAGATGTTCTCAATCTATATGTAGACTTTATAGCGCAAGCCGAATGGGAGGAAGCCGTGCGAATAGCTTCCAGTTTGTTCGTCGAACTGTCTACGTTTCCTAAATATTTTCATCCTGGAGATGGAGTATTAGTAGAAGAAGAACCAAAGGGAAATATCATTCTACCGGATTGGTTGAAAGTGTTGGTGGTTTGTAGCTGCTGGTTAGGGAAACAACCCGCTCTTCAATTAACCAGTATTGCTACGTTGTTAGATTTAATAGCGTTATTAAAAGCTAACAACGATGTTGAAACTTACACGAAATGCGGAGAGGGAGTTACTGCTGTGATCATGGTACCTTTACTGAAACAATGGCACATAACATATCTAATGCAATATACCAATGTGTTCCAGGTATTTTACTTATTTTTACTATGCAAGAAGTGTTTCAAGGGTTATAATATCTGCTTATTAATATTCGTAAGATTCAGAGGTCAGAACTTAAAAAATCTACTTTTTTGAAGGTACTGGCACATTCCCTATGGCACCATCTTGGCGAATTACCCGCTCACAAATATAGAATGCGATGCGTTGAGTTATTGCACGAGCTTCACCACGCTCTACACAAATCTTGCGATGCGGTTGAGGATGTGATAGGAGCTGCACTGACTGCAGAAAATATTGAGAAGAGGATAGAAGCATTCAACCGATTCGCTACACTGTGGCACTTGGGTAGAGAGATCGAAACTAATCCCAGACTGCGCGGATGTATGAAATCGTTCGACCAGTGAGTTGCACAGCTTTTACATCTTAGGATAGATCCTGTATACCATTTTCAAATAAATTCGACACTAATTCAAACACGCGTCCAGGTCGTTGTTGAAAATATTGGATAATCTACAACTCGGAGATAACTCACCTCTAAAGCTGCATGCCCAGTCTTGGTTGCTTCACTCTTTGATGCGAGGCGATATTTCACGAATAGTGGATCCGCTGCTGACAATACTTTTGGACCCATCTACATGTCGCATGAGCGTACTCCACGTTAGCATACAGCATAGCAACACCGTTCTGACCAAGAATGATCCGATAGAGGAGAAATCCGAGGTGCAGGACGACACAGAAGGCGCCGCGAAGATTTATGCCATCAGTTCTGTGGACGGGAACGTAATATACCATGTCAGCGATAACGTGGACGAGGACAAGAAATGGCGAAAAGGAAAGAAAAAGAAAAAAGCTATAAATCCGGTGAAGGTGAAAAGGATATTCGCCGTGACAACGCTGGCCGCTGGTGACAATTGCAACCAGTACGTAACCGAGAGAAACCAGTTCATGAAGGAACTCGAGGTACCGCCGAGCATATCCGGCAACCGGAAAATCTCTGTGTTCGTCAATCCTCTGTCACTGAACTGCAACGAAAATTCGAACGACTCACTGACCGAGGACGAATCGTTGCCCAGCGTAAAAAAAGCTAACTTAACAACAGAATTGTTAAAAAATGCAACCAGATTCAAGAAAATAGACTTTGACAAAGGCTCCACTGCCAGCCTGGACGAAAGTCTCTTCGAATCTGCAAATTCCAGCTCCAAGACGAAAGATAAGGCTGGGTTCAAAAAGCTGAATGGGGAGGTTGGCTCCTCGTTGGACTCTATAACTAACAGTTTTGATTCCAGCAGCCCCGAGATAACTAACAAGCAAGCGAAATTGAAAAAGGAACCGGTCATAATGCCGGGCAGTTCCAGAGAAGTCGCTGGTACCATCATCAAGGGCAAATACCACAGTACAAATGAATTCATGACGAATTACGATCACGATGTCGGAAGTTTCGAAGCAAGCGTCGAGATACCAAGTTGGACGATGGACGATGAAGAGGGTGACCTTGAGGCCAGTACCACCGCCGAGGAATACTTCAGCAACTCGAGCGGCACTAGCGTAGTAGAGGAGATCTTGAACGAAGTGCTCGACCGTGTAATGCAAATTTGTGACGTTACCGAGACAATACACAAGAACACCGATGAATCCGCCGATCAGAATATAAAAACCGGTCGCAATTATGGAGTCGGTGTTCACAATCTTCATTCCCATATGTTACTTTATTGTGGAGTCTACGACTCGACCAGAACTTTGTACGCATTGCGAACTCTACGGAACGAACTCTTGACGAACACTAGAATGTTCTTGTGCTGTGCTGCGACCACCGGTGTATGCAACACCACGAAAAACACAACATTGTTAAATTTATTAGCCAGACATCGGAAAAGTGTATTTGGAAGAAACTTTCACGGGGACGTAGCTAATACAGAATTTATAGCTGCTTATAGGAGTAGCATGTACCTGGAAGTTCTAATTAGTGTGTGCCTTTATTTTGCGAGGAGCTATTATCCCAATCTGGGACAGATGAGACTCACCCACGAAGAGATATCAGGAAATAGACAGGTAATTTATTGTAAACGTTGATGGGAGTTGAAAAGATTGATTGTAAAACGAGAATTTGAGATTTAAAATTGAAATTGTAGCACGGCATAGCAGTCTTTTCAACTTGTTTCGTTATTATGCTTTTATTTGTCTTCTATATGTATTACAACTATTTCTTTCTGAATAGGTGCAATTAGCTAGCACTGAATTATTAACGCTAATATTCTCCGAACTAATTCCTATTGTCCGTGATTCGGGGAAAGGGTTCAGTTGTTACATTGTCGATTTATTAACGAAATGTAAAGTACAAAAGGTTGCGCTGCATTGTCTCGTATCGAGCGTTATGAACATGAAAAACGCACACAAAGAGAACGAGGAGGTGTCCACGTTCACCGAGGAAATCATTTTGTTCAATGACCCTGTAGCTGATAACGATGTGAACAAGTGCAAATTTAGAGCGAGCGACCACACGGAAGCTTTCCAAATACAGCTGCTCAGGTAAATAAATCAAGCAGAGAGTGCTAAACATTTTCAACGAGAGATATAATATTAAAAATATTTGTCGATACTCTAGGTTATTATTAGCTTTAATTATGCTGGAGCACCAATGCGGTAGTCAAAAAGGCGAGGATATTTGTGCGACGACTACGTCGACGCCAAGTACTCCCACACGAACCGTTCCTAATATCACGGGGAACAGCTTGAAATATGTACCTGGTGCACCAATTCCTCAACAACCAATGTTCCTTGCTAGCATACTCAGTGCTTTACAATTGGTATGTAACATATTTAAATGATTATATCGGTTAAAATGACTAGTAAAAAGTGGAACTTTTCGTACACGGTACAATGTTATGTTATTTGTTGTAGGACCACATGAGACACTTACACCAATTTTGGACGACCCTCGTTACCTCGAGTCTTCCTTTCATGGGGTCCTCGTTGACTGGAATAGTTACATCGGTTATACACCAATTATGTTGCAACATCGAGCACCTAGCTTCTTATTATATTAACGAAGAAACGTCGACGGCAACGAAATTGCAGGACATAAGTACAGTCGAATGTTGCCTTCCTGCGGATTATACTGTCACTCACCTAGAGGCATTAACGTTCTTACTTCACTACTGCTTATTGGATACGTCCCAACAGATCGGCTTTTCGTTTAACCAACCTTTCAGCAGTACAATCCAGACTGGAATCCCCGGAGCAAATCCAGGCCAGATATTCAATAACCTTATCCACGTGTTTATGCCCAGCCCACTTACTCCAGTAAGCTATAGATTCGCTTAGTTCGATGTCCCACTTCGGTGTAACAATCTATATATAATTTGATTGCATCCATAGGACCTTAACACGTCGAAGGATAAAAACATTGCGAATGAATTGCAACAGCATGCTAGAAGGACAGCTTTGAGTCATCTGCCAAGGATAATCGCGTCCCTATCGACACTATGGCAAGCAGTGTTGGCAACAAAAGACAAGTTCGTTTCATTTCAAATTGGTTTTCCTTATCGCTTGAAAGTTGCGTTTGACGAACCTTATTTTCTTTTAACATAAATTTAGCGAACAAGCCAGTTGCGTAGTGGGTAGTCCGAGAATAGTAAAGCATCAACTTTTAGAACTTCTGTCCCCCATATCATTCCATCACGGAGTGAACTTTCTGGCAGCCATTGCTGTTGCTTGGCACGAAAGGCGACAGCCGTCTGGCAACTCGAAAAAGGTAAGCTGTTTAATGATTTGCTTCTGTCGCAGCCCACTAGAAGTAATCGTATTTTTATTCAGGTACTTCCGGAAGCTTGTCCTAATCAGCAAGTCATGGTTCATTTGGTAAGCGCGATTCGCGTGATGCCTATTGACACTTTGGTTCAGACTGTCCATCAAGTTGTAAAGTCTCCACCTCCTATTCATGGTGTGAAGCAAGATTTCTCGTTGGAGGTGTCTGTGTTGGAATTACTATATGTATACATGCAAAGTAACACGTCGCAGTCCGTTATAGAATCATGGGCATCTTTGCTCGGCTTGCTGAAGGACGGTCTATCCTTAACAGCTCCTGCTCAGTTCCTTTTGCTAGCAATCTTGAACGAGTATGTTCAGAAATGTCCTCCCATGCAAGAGAAGAAGGACATAAGAGACTTGCAGGATGTGTCCGCTAAGGTATTTCTAAATAACATTTGATGATCATTTAGAATAGGAGATGGATAATTAGAAGATGTTGTTCTAGTTGGTCGAGGTATGTTCACAAATAGCCGGAGCATGTTTAGAACAGACAACATGGTTGAGAAGGAACTTGGCTGTAAGAGAAGACGCTTTCGAAGTCGCTGAAGGATCTTCGGAAGGTAAAGAAGGCAAGAGTGGGGCTGGTGCGTAATGCTTTTCTTTTAGAATATTTCAGTTATTAAAAATTTCTTAGTCATTGTTTAGTTTCTTTATATTAGCGCGATATTGTCTGAATGGAACAGTGCTGGCACGGTACGATTGATAATAGAGAAATTATCGATGTAAATATTATTGTTTCAGTTACACCCGGAACACCGCCTAACGCTGCGTTTAGCGTACAAGCTCAAGCAGTATTGGCAGAAATACTGGCACCTTTGTTAGACGTTAGCTACGGTTCGCAAGAAAAGGAACGAGTCGTAACATTGTTAACTAATCTCATGTACAACGTGACGCCGTATCTAAAAAATCATTCGTAAGGCTTTTTATGGTTTAAAATACTAACAGAGGATCAGTTTGATATAGTAGTGATTGTATCTCATTGCAATTTTTTCAGGACGAAAAATATCGCTTCATTCACAGCTTGTTCTCAGTTACTGAGTTCCTTGTCTGGTTATCAGTATACTAGAAAAGCATGGCGCAAAGATGTACTGGACCTTCTACTAGATCCTGCCTTCTTCCAGATGACGCCAGCATGTTTACCTTATTGGAGAACTATTATAGATAATTTGATGACACATGACAATACAACCTTCCGGGATTTGATGAGTACCTGTCCTATAGAATAATTTCAATATTGATTACCGTGTGGCTTGTATATAAACAATCATTTATTATATTGTTTTCTTGTAGATCGCGTCTCTATGGCACAGAGTAGTAGCATTAGTATATTTTCCTCGAAGGAGCAGGAATACGAACAGAAGGCTCAATTGTTGAAAAGGCTAGCCTATGTTATACTTTGCAGTGAAACGGACCAGTACCATAAATATATGCCTGAGATTCAAGGTAGAAAACAATTAATAGATTAATGATAATGGCAAGAGTAATTCGAGTATCATGTTTACAGTGAATATATGAAACTACACCTTCTATACTCTTTTGCAATTAGAACGTTTAGCGGACAGTCTACGTTTGCCACAAGTGATCCCGTCTATTCAGGCGCAAGTCTTTCTTTGTTTCCGGGTGTTGCTTTTGAGAGTATCACCGCAACACGCTACATCTTTGTGGCCGGTAATAGTCAGTGAACTTGTTCAAGTCTTCCTGTATATTGAACAAGAATTAAACACAGATAGCGAGGAATTTAGGTATAGTAACAATCTATCTTTCCAGTATATTTGGTTCTACTCTTTGCTTTTGGGAGTTTGGTGCTTTCTATGCATGATCTATATCAGCTGATTCGATTGAAAAATTGTTAAACAAGAAAGACAAGATGATGTTACGAAAGATCATATAATTCAATGAGGGAAAATATAAATCAGTTTAACTAGATACAACAGAACCGACAGTTCTAACGTGCTACGCAACAAAGATTTTTTATTCTCTTGCACTATTATGGTCTGAACAATAAGAGATACATATTATCATTTAGCTTTAGTTATTCTTTAACGTATCTGTTAACCCTTTCTCAGCATACAATGTGCTATGCTCTAATCAAATTGTTTGTATTTACTCCTTACTAACATTAACAGTACCTAATGTCATATTGTTTTTGGCTCTGTTTCGGTATCTGCGATTTGGTGGAATTTATGATGCCTCCATAAATTGATTGGTGTTGGGACATCAGTCGTCATGGCAGGTAATTGAATGCTTCTTGCATATTAACGGTCATCATATAAGATTTAAATCTCGAAATAATGTATCTAGGACGTTTAAATCCACAAGTTTGAGCATAATACGATATACACAGTAATTAAAAGATTCTTAGGTACCTTACTTCGAATTGAAAAGACCTTGAAAGATACTGTTTCGTCTGTTCAAAACAATTTGTAGTATTCAGGACTAGTAGTTACAATGATTCGAAGGGTTCTGTGTTTGTTTTGTTTTTCGCTTTCAATGCAAGATGTTGGAATTTATTTTCTTAAGAAATGCTGTATAGTTTTCCATTAGAATGCGATTTTTGAAGCTATACTTTCACTTTCATACAGTTCACACATAAAACTTCTTTCTGCTTTGGATTCATCATGGGCTGTGAATGCTAGCAATGGACTCCAGGCGCATGGACACCCACACTGGTTGCAACTGCAGCTTGCAGCTGCTAAATTGTTAGATTTGGCATTACTCTTGCCCGCTCATAGACTTCCTCAGTTCCAAATGTAAGTAAATTAGAATTCATCTACCGTAGAATGCAGCTCATAGAAGATCCCATAAAAATTTAATGTTTCTATAGGTATAGGTGGGCGTTTGTGGGAGATTCTGCTGCAGGGAACATAGACAATAACAACTTGTCTTCGGATTTCGTACCACACATCACAAGAATAGGAAAATTGATGGACAACAAGGTAAGAATTCATTACTTTATTAAAATGAAAATTCAATACCCTGTTGCATTATTATACAAAATGTTGACAAAGTATAGACGCTTAAAGTGCATTCAAAACAATGCACCTGTTATTTCATATATCAATTCACGTGCGAGACAAATCTGTATGCTTATACGTTTATTTCTTCCATATTGTTTTATCATTATTTTATAGAATTTTGTGATTTCTACACTAAAAGAAAGATTAGATGATTCGTAGATGGCTTGACAAAAGCATAGATACTTTTATACATCAATATAGTCTTCGTCTTTTGGACATTCTTCTGGCAACATGCATCTGTTTGTTTTCTCATCGAATACGTATTCTTCTTTGCACTCACATCCGCTTCTGCACGGTGAATAACAATCTACCACATCCGGTTCGGTGCAAGTGAACCTACAGACGCAATGAGCCCAAATTGATTTTTCATCGCACTGCTGAGGATTTCTTGCGAACACATGATCAATTTCCTCGTAATCGTAGCCCGGAATTCTATGCTTAGTGTACCGATAAATTCTCTGTGGTTTATACCAGTCTAATTGCACGTCATGTGCTCTTTCTTTTTTGGGAACCTCGTCGATGATCTTGAAAGATAAATCGACATTGTCGTGCATCTCAGGACAAACATCGCATCTGCGTCCACGAGGAACAGCATCCTCGAAATCATTCAAAATGTAGTAGTCGTCTTGAACAATGTTCAAATGATCATTCTCAAAATTCCCAACGTAACTTACCGGCACCTCTTCATAAAATTCGAAATCTTTGTAATCAGAGTCATCTGAGTATTCTAAAATATTAAACATAAAAATTAGACTGTTGTAAATAGTTACTAGTAAGATTATGCGAACAAACTGAAGACAAATTGTTGGTGCCTGATTTATGTCATCTAATTCCATTTCATTACTACCAGTTAGCCCACTTAATCACTCATTGAAAGAAGTATAGTTACAACTGTTGGCTACATCCTCATTTATGTTATATTATGTCTTAAAAAATGTTGAGAATTAAATAATGTTTAATTGTCAGATGATAATAAACACTTGACGTATTTTATATAAATCAGTTAAACAGAACATACAGTTTTAATATTTTTAAGACGTTTTAAAAATTAATAAAAACTGCAGTTACATATCCTGGAAAATTATTTCAAGTATCTTTTTAATACACACTTGACATAAAAAATATTGTCCGTGTAATTTAAATAAATGTATTATACTTTTCAGTGGATATTTTGAAACACGTACATATATAATTGTAATATTGAAAAATATACTAATTGAATGCAACACTTACGAGCATCTATTGCTACTGTAAGGTAAAGAATAATATATGCAACTGTTGTTAGTCCAGTCACTGCCATGGCCACTGTCAAACTGACTGACAATGAACTGTCTACGTTCTTTTACTATTATTACATACAAATGTATTTAATTAGCACTGTGTAACTTCACTTGCACATCTGTCTCTAATTAAACACAATTAAGCTTCTTTTAAGTTACATTAAAGTGGTAATTCTATCGTGTATGCTCATGTCATGGATTACAGCAGTTTGTATTACATCGATTTGCTCGGTATTATAAAGGATGAAACTAGGTTCTGTGTACAATTTCTATTTCTATCGCTCCTTTGTTCTTCAGACAGTTTCTTTAACTTGTGCACTGCTTTTGACTGCTTTCACTGATGAAATACTTATTTTGGCATCATACGAAACATATATACATAGCTTATTTTTGAATCTGTGCCAATAGCCCTGTATCCTAAAAGTTCAGTGCTTGAATTATATTTAACGTACAATGAAAATTATGGACTGCTTTACATAAAAAATTTTACTAACGTTAGAAAAAGATATCTGCCCCATCTTATGAATTTCAACGTTGCATTTATTGTTAATCAATATCTTTATTATAATTAAATCTCAACTTGAAGTCACTAACTCTTTAATATTTGTATTTTTACAGTACAAGCAGGATTCGGGGTCTGCAAAAGCAATACCAGGAGAGCTTCTACTGACTTCAAACAGCATCCGTTCATTGCAAGATTTGCATTATTTTTTTACAACACTTAGTTGTAGATCGAGCGACACTCAAACACCGTTAAATATCACACAATTAGAAACAGTGATCGAACAAGATTTTCTTGAGAAGATGCCAGCATCAAGATAATAGGAATATCTCAACAATGTAGACAAGAGCCACTTGCTAAGGAAGAGAGATGGAAGAGGCATCTGAAAATGTTTTATTCTTTGATATCTTTTTTAATGCACCAACTGAACAAGCACGTACGAGAAAGCCAAGGACGAATTTTTTGTTTAAAACTATGATCAGTAGATTATACTCTCTTACTCCAGTACAGTTTGATCGCAAACTTGTACATTGCAAATTAATTAAACATAGAACGTATATACTGTATAATAACGATCGAACGAAATATTTGATTTTGATTAGCTAAGCTTGTAACTTGTCTCCTCATTCGGTTGTGAATAGTTATCGAAATATATGATACACCAGGCCAGGGCCTAGCTGAATTGTATCTCTAGAAAATATCTGTACAGTGTAACATAACGTTTTATTCAAATTGTTATTTTTTCAACTGTTCCGAGAACTATCTGTTCCGTGCTTGTCGCGTATGTACCTCTTACTTGATGTCATGGAATAACAGAAAGAGAAAAAGAAAGAGTTGGTGATGCAATGATAATGCAAGGAAGTGAAGAAATATTTCAATTATTTCCTTCGAATTCACATGTCAATTCGTAAAGGATGCCATACAGCATATATTCTATACAACTTTAACAAGTCTATTATACACATGATGCAAATTAGAATGTGTCTATATAAAGGTTCTTATTTTCGTTATATCTTTTTTTATAATTTGAATGTTGTGATTTGAACATGATTTTGAAAATACAAGAATTGGTAGAAATTGTTCTTGGGAACAATAACATTATTTTATTCATAAAGTTAATGTTGTATATGAAAGAATGTGACGGTAAATCCGTTTGTATATCTATCACCTGTGTGAATATTGAGTTTTGCATGAAATCTTTTATTACACAGTTATACTTTTTTGACAAAAACATAGAAATATTGTGTTTCCATCGTATGTATTATTCATCTGTGATGTACACAGCAAACTAAAGGTATCAATAATCCTCACTCAGGTGATTTATTAGCTTCCACGTAATTAAGAGGAAATCAATACGAGGAAAAAGAACTTGCTGTGAAATTATTTTTCTATATACANGAATCTCAACATGCAAGTTTATGAACGATTTATAAATCTTATTTATGAAATATTTATCTGCTAGCGTTGCCATTTTCATTTTAACTATATGTGTATCTATGTATATGTATATATAAATGTGTATATGTATATATATATATATACAATATACATAAATACGTGTATATAATGTATATTTGCTATGTAATCGCTGATACATTACTATCGCCTTCTTCTCTGCTGTTTCACATTCATTAGATGTGAAACAAATTAAAACTAAACGCGTATACGTAAAAATTAATTGTACACTATACCCGATTCGATGATAAAGAAAATTAAATAAGAAAGAAACATTGTATGCAAACAAGTATTATGAGAGTTTATAATTAATGCTTGTTACGCAAATATTGCAACATTTGTTACTTCCTTTTAAGAGGCATTCGTGTACCGATCAGTTATCTAATATACGCAATGTGAATAATTCGTAAAGTAGGATGTTCATATGCATTTGTTATATCTACGAGGTGTATCCAAAAGATCGATGTTTCAATTTAAGATTTTGTTAAAAAAGTTGCGTATATTTTAATTTTCGATTGTTAATACGGTTTCATTGAGTACAAAGTAAAACATGCTCTATAAAAGATCATTTGCATTTCTTTTAAACGTAATGGTCCAATTTTTTCAGCAACATTGTATAATCAAGCTGGATTATGCTATGTCTCTTACGAAATATTCGAAATCGCTCGTTGAAGCCTTCTACTAGATCCGGTGTAATTTTAAGAAGTTTTAGCAAATGAATTTATGAAACGAACGTATGTAGTATCTAATGAAACATTTTGATATAAAGCAAATAATGATAGTATTCGCATTTGGTTTTTTCTTTCTTATTCTTGTTTAAATCAGCAAAAAAAGATTTACTACAATTTCGAATGATCCAAGACTTTGTAAAACATGAGATTGTGAAAATTTTAGCAGATGCAAATTAATGATATGCATACATATACTTATGTTGAAATAATGTAAATTTATAAAATAAATTAAAGTTCAACCGAGTACCATATGATTCCTAACAATCATTAATCATTTTCGTAATTTCTAATCTTTTTGCATTTGACGACCTTCAGACATTATGTACATATATCATGTTATAGTTTGACAATGATTTTGTGAATATCTTGAATGTGGATTCAAATCGACCGCGTTTACCGCTACCTGCCCGTGATTCTGTCTGACCGCGATCAATGATCCCGAGGAGCACGCCATTAATATCGAGCCACGCCGTAAAATCAACAGTTTACTATTTTTTAAAAACGTGGTTCGTCGCGCTCTTCGGAACAACAACGATGAGTCGCGATTGCCGCGGTGCGTACAAATAAGAAATCGTTTCCGTAGTGGCAACGGATCGGTTCGGGTCCGTGACGGTGATAATGATAATGACTGGGACGGGTTCTCGGGTACTGGAATAGATATCAAAACAAAACATACCGCGCGAGGTAGAACATATCGTCGAAGGCGAGGCGAGAGGGAAAAAATGCGAGCGACAGCAACAGGACCAGAGACAGTGTCGAAGCAGTCGAATGTGCATACACAACACGATAGACGACGAGGGTATTAAGCAATATCCATGCACATAAGCGGTTACGCTTACGAGAACCGGTTCTACTGAATCGNATTCTGAATCTCAACATGCAAGTTTATGAACGATTTATAAATCTTATTTATGAAATATTTATCTGCTAGCGTTGCCATTTTCATTTTAACTATATGTGTATCTATGTATATGTATATATAAATGTGTATATGTATATATATATATATACAATATACATAAATACGTGTATATAATGTATATTTGCTATGTAATCGCTGATACATTACTATCGCCTTCTTCTCTGCTGTTTCACATTCATTAGATGTGAAACAAATTAAAACTAAACGCGTATACGTAAAAATTAATTGTACACTATACCCGATTCGATGATAAAGAAAATTAAATAAGAAAGAAACATTGTATGCAAACAAGTATTATGAGAGTTTATAATTAATGCTTGTTACGCAAATATTGCAACATTTGTTACTTCCTTTTAAGAGGCATTCGTGTACCGATCAGTTATCTAATATACGCAATGTGAATAATTCGTAAAGTAGGATGTTCATATGCATTTGTTATATCTACGAGGTGTATCCAAAAGATCGATGTTTCAATTTAAGATTTTGTTAAAAAAGTTGCGTATATTTTAATTTTCGATTGTTAATACGGTTTCATTGAGTACAAAGTAAAACATGCTCTATAAAAGATCATTTGCATTTCTTTTAAACGTAATGGTCCAATTTTTTCAGCAACATTGTATAATCAAGCTGGATTATGCTATGTCTCTTACGAAATATTCGAAATCGCTCGTTGAAGCCTTCTACTAGATCCGGTGTAATTTTAAGAAGTTTTAGCAAATGAATTTATGAAACGAACGTATGTAGTATCTAATGAAACATTTTGATATAAAGCAAATAATGATAGTATTCGCATTTGGTTTTTTCTTTCTTATTCTTGTTTAAATCAGCAAAAAAAGATTTACTACAATTTCGAATGATCCAAGACTTTGTAAAACATGAGATTGTGAAAATTTTAGCAGATGCAAATTAATGATATGCATACATATACTTATGTTGAAATAATGTAAATTTATAAAATAAATTAAAGTTCAACCGAGTACCATATGATTCCTAACAATCATTAATCATTTTCGTAATTTCTAATCTTTTTGCATTTGACGACCTTCAGACATTATGTACATATATCATGTTATAGTTTGACAATGATTTTGTGAATATCTTGAATGTGGATTCAAATCGACCGCGTTTACCGCTACCTGCCCGTGATTCTGTCTGACCGCGATCAATGATCCCGAGGAGCACGCCATTAATATCGAGCCACGCCGTAAAATCAACAGTTTACTATTTTTTAAAAACGTGGTTCGTCGCGCTCTTCGGAACAACAACGATGAGTCGCGATTGCCGCGGTGCGTACAAATAAGAAATCGTTTCCGTAGTGGCAACGGATCGGTTCGGGTCCGTGACGGTGATAATGATAATGACTGGGACGGGTTCTCGGGTACTGGAATAGATATCAAAACAAAACATACCGCGCGAGGTAGAACATATCGTCGAAGGCGAGGCGAGAGGGAAAAAATGCGAGCGACAGCAACAGGACCAGAGACAGTGTCGAAGCAGTCGAATGTGCATACACAACACGATAGACGACGAGGGTATTAAGCAATATCCATGCACATAAGCGGTTACGCTTACGAGAACCGGTTCTACTGAATCGTTACACTTGAAAGGCTAGCTTCAAACAGGACGAGACGTCGCAAGGTGAAAGTAGAATGATAAAAGAAAATCGCCGTGCCCGCGAATCGAAAATATCTTGTTGAGGTTCACGTTCACGGGTGGAACGGATCGCGACAGCCGGAACGAAGATGCACGGGCTGCTCGGCCAAGAATTCGCAACCCAGCACGACGATCGCTGCGAGTTGCTGACTAACCTCATTCGAGATTGATCGTACACACGATTTTGTACATCTGGTGCGATTGCGAGAAAGGAAACGGATACTGTAAGATCGTTTCCCTGACGACGATCGAGCAGTTGACGCGAAAAACTACTGGGTCTGACAATTAAATACGGAATCTTTGTTTACAATGGCTGTGCCCAACAAGTGGGAGAATGTTTGCAGATTGTGCTCGGAGGAGAGAAATGAGATGCTGCCGATTTTCGGCAACGAAGGCGTACAGCGTAAAGTCGCGCAAAAATTACGAGCTTGCTTGCCTGTACTAGTGTACAAAACCGATCCACTGCCAAAGCAAATATGTCAGTTCTGCGCCGCCAGGCTCGACGATGTTTATGAGTTTAGGGAATACTGTCTGAGCGTTTACAAAAGCATGCATGTGAAACTGTTGTCGTTTAAGGACACAGAGTCTGTTCAGATTTACTTAGACGTGATGAAGAACTCTCCAGACCCTTGTCAGGTAACTGTTCTCGGTTAGCCTATGTATCGAAGGTAGTTTGAATATCTGTGATTATAAAATGAAATGAAACAAGTACGATAGGGCTAGGATCGCTCTAATGAAGATAATAACATCATAATTTTCAGGCTCAATTATGGAGGGAAAAGGCCAGAGCACCACCACCGCTAGTACCTTTGCCAGCCTCACTGCCAGTTGAAAACCCATCAACACCAATAGATATTAGTCAAGACCATACGAATACTTGTATCGAATCATTGCCCGAATTACCATGTGAAGTGGAGATTAAGGAAATGAATGCAGACCCAATCTTAGTAACTGAGGCTAGTATTTATGAATCCTCGGGTATAAACAATGTAGAAAATGAACTGTATAAGCCAGATATAATAGCGGATGATAATAAAAGTTTGCTGAAAGAGAATAATGATGGTTCAGGAAAAGAGATACAGGTGAAGCGGGAAGAAAAAAAGACAAGTATTTTGGAACAAGTACTAACGGGTAGTTTAACGATGAGCGATAGAAAGGAATTAAATTCAAAGGCAAAACTGTCTTCTAAATGGTGGTGTGCTCCTTGTAACAGTTACTATAAGTAAGTTAACACTGATTAAACTATACATTGGTTGCAACAACTCTATAGTTAATGACTTGTTACAGAACAAAGGAGAGCTTAATGATGCACATGCAGTTGCACTGCCCTCGGAAGTACACTTGCAGAAAATGTGCTGTATGTTTTGAATTAGTCGAGGATTTAGCTAAACACGAAGCTACTAGCCATCTAAAAGTGACATTAGATTTTGACAGAAGTCTTCAAGACTGTGATCAATGCGACAGGCAGTTTGTGAGTTGGGAAATGCTGAAACAACACAGGTTACGCGATCATTTGGGCGAATCGATTGATATCGGGACCAATACGTGGTGCTCATTATGCAACAGGTACTAGTACAATGGACTTTTAGGATTATTACGGTATATCTCCATATTTTCTGTTTAAACATTCCCTATATTTTTTAGATTTTTCCCAAGTATAGATGACTATCAAAGTCATACTCAGTTACATGAAACTAATAATTATATGCCAGTTAGAGCGTCGCAATTGGCAGATCAACAAGCAGCTCCAGTTATCAATGTTGAGGAACCTCCGAAAGAAGCGAAGAGAGAGCATATTGTTGAAGCTACCAAATCGCTCGCGTGTCCTACATGTGGAAAGGTAGGAAACTTTGAAAATATCTAATGAAAACAGTTTGCATATCCAATTGAAATTTTCTATGAGTAGGTTTGTACCCAACAAAGCGCGTTGTCGAATCATATGCGTACCCATCAGCCTAAACAACACAAATGTGATATATGCGGACGATGTTTCGGACTTCTCATACGTTTAGCAGCGCATAGAATGAGCGAGCATAGTCAGCATCCTTCGATATCTCCAGTAATGGCCAGTGTTGAGCAAGAAGAAGCATTGAATGCTGAAAGAGAAGCACGGGAAGCTAGAACTCGTGCAAGAAGCAGAACATATTCGGAAGTACGGGTGGGCTTAGAGACATTGAATATTGTTTGCAAAGTAACTGGAAGTTATTTTAAAGTACCATAATTTTTAGAAGACGGAGAGGAAAAACACTACGAATCACGAAGAACCACCTGCAAAAAAAAGGGCCTCCAATGAATTTAAAAACGTGGCGAGATGTGGCATCTGTTTCCAATGGTTCAGTGATCATACTACAATGTTAACGCATTTACAAACGCACTCGGAGAACCATACCTGCAAGAACTTCGCTTGTCACATATGTAAAAAGTCTTTCAAGGAGAAATGGCAGTTGTTGAGACACGAGGTACACGTTAATCATCTGTGTAACATCTCCTCGTTTCTGCTGCTGTATTATACTTTATTTAATTTTTTTTTAAACTATAGACGTCTCATAAACGCAACGAGTCTTGTATGACGTACACGTGCTCAGTGTGCGATAAATCATTCTCCGACAAGAGTTTGTACAGAGTACATCAGAAAACGCACATTGTCGATAAAACATATCACTGTTTGAAGTGTAATAAGATATTTTTCAAAGAAGTGACGCTGTTGACTCATCATTGCACGTCGGGAGTCTCCACGAAGCCCTCACAAAAATCCTTAACGTCGTTGGGTACTGGTAAAAAGTACAAATGCTCCAAATGCAATGCAACCTTCAATAGTTTTCAATCGAAGAACTCTCATATGAAGGTGCACACCGAAGGCTCGCATTCAGCGGTAATTTTTGTAAATTTAAATATTTATAAATTGTCTTCGTTCCGTTTAAACATAATTATATATTGAACAATTCGAATTCTCTTTTTGTCGCACAGGTCCAAGATGACGAAGTGCAACTCGAGTCAGAAGATGAACCTATGCCAAAATTAAGTCCAGAAATATCATTGGAATACTCAGTGCCTATTGAACCGAAGGTGGAAATTAATGAAGAGAGTGCGCCGCCACCTATTAAACGAACTCTCATTAGGACAACTGGCGGGTAGGATTTTGTAATATTCAGTTTTAAAGATAGTTCAACTAATAAAATGTTCATGTCGTTTGTTGTTTTTTAGATACCGATGTGGAGTATGTCAATCTCCATTCGTTTTGCGAGAATTAGCAGTTGCACACTTGATGTCTGCTCATCCGATAATGCCATACCAGTGTCCTTATTGTAAAACGCGATTCGCGACACAGTATATGTTCACGCATCATATTAAAACGGATCATCCCGACGAACATGAGAATTAAGTTACACGAGTTACTATTAGCTCTAAAATGCCAAACGATTCTTGTATCATAAGCTGCGCTTCGAATCGGAGGCAATTTCCGCGTTTATGTACAAGATACGCAAGACGATTCTCATTAAAGCAACCGATGCAATTATTTTTTTAATATAGGAACGATCTTGAATATTAGGAATAATTGCACCATTTGCTTTTTTAGAATTAATCAGAATACAGGGTAGACCACTAACTCTGTCCACTTGTGATGTCTCTTTCTGTCATTATTAGTTTTCTCGTAATTGAAACGAATTCAAACAATCTCGGAACCTTATTGACCGATTAATTCACAATGGAATCTATTGTCACTACATTATCAACGTTTTCCTATTATTTATATTGGCAATAATTACATTAAGTAGACTGATTTAGTGATCCGACCCTACACAGCAGTTTTCGATTTTATAATCTGGAACTGTATTGTTTTTTAATCTGGCACACTAGTTCCTGAACAAATAATTGGCCTTAAACAATGTTTTGTAGTTTTACTTCAAGAAAAAAGAAAGTATATATCTATATATATACGTGTATATATACATATATACAAATATGGTAATTCGTAAATAAATATAGTTTGTGTTGAACGAGATACACTTGTTAAGGAATTATAAATATCTTTTATTATAGGAGACTGGAAATAGGATTAGTACTTATACTGAACGTGCCTGTACAAGTATCGTGTCATGGTGTCACACAAATCTTTTAGCTAAATTGATTTACGATTGCCGACGAGAGACGATCATCTTAATAGATACCGTGTATATCTCGATAAGAAATAGTTAATCGCATTAGACGTGTTATATGTTTATTTGTTAGTAACGTTGCCAGACATTCCTCTTCCTTTGAAGAAATTCAGAAAATTGAAATGAAAAAGAAAATACTTTAATTTCATGATATCCGCCTTAAATTCTTGTATAGAGATCTAGTAACTAATTACAAGCATATGTATAATTACGCTGTACATTGTCATTATTGTTTTATTTTATATATAGTGTATTTACAATAAAATATTGAATGTCGAGAACAAACCTATTAAATAAATCTTTTTATCCAAACGTATTGTTAAAGTGAAATCTCATTGAAGTTATCAAATTTTCTCAATTATTCAGAAAAGAAATTGCTTTTTCAGTCCGTGATACGATAGAGATGAAGTTTTGGTAAGCAATTCACGATGTTCATTATAGATGGCGCTCGAAGTGTCTGTTAAACGTATAACATATAATTGGAAAATGAAAAATTATGATTTACAAGTGAATTTTGTTCCGCTTTTTATATTCTAATCGATAAAAAAAGAATCCGTTGATAAATTAACGTGCGACAATAGGCGAAATATCGTGCTAGCGTTATAGTTCACGATTCATGTTTGAATCTGTTTCCCCTTACGTCTGACCGTAGCAATCATCTACCACTGTATACGAGGCGACTATGACTGACCGTTACCACTAACAGCTCTAGAAATTCTCAGTGAGAAGACAGAACACAGGCATGATTTCCATCTATCCCGTATTTCGAATGCAAATGTAGCATCTGTTACGTTTCCATTCGAAACTGCGCAGAAAATTACAGTGACTAGTATCGGCAATCGTTGAAGCTATTACATAATTTTCGAGTTTATTCTCCAAGGAAAATCGAAATCTTGCCGACGTCCAAAAACCGTTCCAAACCGAACCGAGAAGCGTCTCTAAAATTGTCAAAAAGATTTTCCGAAACACTCGGTGTCGGAAGAGAATACGCACACCGATATTCGAGAAATCCAAAAAGTGTGACAAGAGACCGATGTGTAGTTCGTTAGTCACACGTGACGGAAATATCGATTACAAAATTGTCATTCGAACGAACGAAGTTATCGATAAAACGGCAACAAAAATAATGTTCTCGACAGAAAAAGAGCAATAACAAGGAGACAATATGATAATGAAAATTGGCTTGGTAACAGATCGGGTGCGTGCGAGAGCAAGAAATTAGAAAATGAAATGACGGGGTGAATTTGTAAAAGTCTTCCCAAGTCCTAACGGGAAGAAACACACACACACAGCCGAGATTTTGACAAATTAGAAAATTTATATATTAAAATCCGACGTAGCTCGAGATTGCCTAGAAACATAGATTTCAGAATACTCGAATGGAAGAGAAATTGTTAACGCGCTGCACGATTAACGTTGCAACTAACGGTACGACCAAATGCGATTAGTTTTCGTTTCCGTTGGAAAAGCAACAAAGTCGCATTTCTCAAGACATTGACCGGGATAAGTGGACAATTGTCCGATAAAGCGTTGTTACAGCATTACGGTTTGGATGATTTCGAAACGAAGGATTCAACAAATTCGTGATTTCGACCGTTTCGGTCGACGCGTTAACCATTTCGAAGAAGACTGTGACGGGAAGAGGTTCGGTGTGTGCAAAAGAGCAACAACAGCGAAAATCAGAATACTTTGATAACGAAAATTGGCTCGGTGGCCGTGGCGTGGCAAGGGGCACGGGGCACGGGGTTCGACGGGGCGTACGGGAGGGGTTCGGTGGGGTATTGTGGGTGGTCGCAAAGCGCATGGAAAAACCAGAGGGGGCAGATCTGCCGCATAGCCGACGGAAACTCGTCGGGTGCTCGTCAGACGCGACGCGTCCGTGATCACGCACGGTGCACCACGCGAGAAAGAGGAAGGCCCCGTTGCGTTCGTTCAGTCATTTCGGACGTGGGAAACGGGGAAGATCGTTCCGATCGTCGAGCACACTGCCACCGAGAACAATTTCTCCCGAGACGAGTCCGAAGAAGTTTGCCGACTTTTTCGATTTTGCCGATTTTGCCGATTTTGCCGATTTTGCCGATTTGCGACACGGGAACTGTCCGACCGATCGGGCCCGCCGATTGCGTGCCAGATTTCCATGCAGCGAGGGTGGAGGCAACACGTCCGAAGTGACTGACTGCAACGTGATTGGCTGAAACACATGGTCCGGTAATCGTGAACATGATTGGAAACCGTCTCGCGCCGATCGTCACCCTCGTCCTTGTGGTCCTGCTGTCGTCCGTCGATCACGGTGAGTGGAGATCCCTTATCCTCGAATCGCGCGTTCGCGACGCTCCTATAATCGCGTAGATCACATGCGAGAACCTAGGAAACCGTAGAGTGTTTCGTGAAAATGTTGTCGGTAAACGTTTGTTTGGTGGCGTCCAAAAGCGTCTAGCTTTAGAGTCGATTGTCCCAATCACCGTCGTAAACGATCGTTTCATCTGGTAGAAGACCGATCTGCGGAACGGGACGACGTGTCCTACTTTAGCGACCCAGTTTCCGATCTACACTGAATCACCGATCGATCTACAGGCTTCTTCTTCCCGCTGTATAGTTTTCGTCACGATTTTCCTAACCGAGGCGCGCGCATGTGTCCGGAAATAAGAATCGTATCACGTATTTTTCCCGTTCCGTTTTCCTGCAAACCGACGTAGAAACGGCATTCTTTCCTATGGCTGATTCTTTGCACCCGTCTCTAAGAGGAGAGAGAGAGAAACGAAGAACCTTTCGATCGGTGTACGAGATGGCCGGCGATCTTTGTTCGTCGAAAACGGAAGAACGATCGGACGGGACGATTGACTTTTCGAAAGAGCCGCGCGCGTTGCAGGTCGGAGCGCAATGCGGTAGTGACGAGAAAACCGAGCGTATCTATAGAACGAACGATTCGGAACGAGATTCGCTTTTGCAGACGAGCATCCGCGAATTCCTCGCGAATTCCTCGAGCTTATCGGCCCAGGGAAAATCGGACGGGATGCTTTTTTCGCGGGCCCCGTCGAAACGGAGACGATATTGATTTTCGGTTACATAAAGAGTACGACGGGAGCCTCCATGGTCTCCTTCCGGTCTCGAATCGTCTTCCGCCTCCTTTTATCGTTGACACGATCGAATGTGTCAACGTACATCGAGGCACGATACTTGAACAGATATTAGAATCGCGTGCTGGTCTCTTTTTCTATCGATTCACGAAGATTCTTCGTCCGGATTGTACTTATTGGAAGCGCATCGATACGATTCCACGTAGGAAGAATTGAAAGATCTGCTTTCACAAGTAGCAGACCATATTCTACCAGGAAGTCGGAAACGATTTAGAAAAGTTTACCGGACTCTGTCCGAAGAGAAGCATTTTACGAGTAGCGTCCGTAGCTCGACGACGGGGCTCGTGCCGCGAAATACCCCGGAGGTTCGGCTCGCTGGCAACGGTATCCGATAGCTCCTGGCTCGAGGAATTTTCGTTTGGTCGAACGGCGACTTGGATTACGAATGGTCGGGAACGAGGGCAATTAGCTTCGCAGCCAGGACGGGCTGGTTGGATCCTGTCCCGTTGAGGATTACGGTGTTCCAGATGCTCGTCAGGGAACTCGTACGACGCCTCGCACTTGTGGTACTTCCGCGGCGCTTGCACGGAACCGGAGTGTACTCAATTTCTAAATTGAATCTCATTAGAAAAGTAAATCGCACGGCGTCCCGCGAAAGGAATAGGGTCGGCCGGAAGTTGTCGGCGCGGGAAAGACGAATCAAGAAACCAAGAGGATTCCCGGGCCGAGACACTCGGCGAGGGTAGAAGAGAGGAGTTTCCTCGAGCGATCTGTGCTCGGTATTTACAGAAACCAGGTGCCGAGGTGCTGAAAGAGAAACGGCTGAAGAGGACTCCAAGCTGGCTTCGCGAGAGAGCTTTCGTAAGCAGATCCGTTGCTACCCGACATTCTCGTTTCGAGACTGGAGACGATGCTCGATGGGATTTCAGAACCGTGCGGAACGAACGAGAACTGTTGCTGGATCGTTCGTTGCCTCGATCGATTCGCCGAGATCGCTTTGTCCGGTCCCGGCGCGAATTCGACCCCGACAGTCCCAGCAATCGCGACGAATTATGCAAAAACGTGCGACTAATTTGAAAGGAAAACGGTCGGTAGGGTGTGTACGGCAGGAACGGGCACGCTTTCGAGGACAGCGCGAACCATTAAAGGAGCACTCGCGCGCAGCTTAAAGCAATGCGGCAATACGAAACGATGCGACGGTATCGACGTTCCGCAAAAACTGCATTCTTTTCGATGAATTGATCGCGATCGGGAAGATTACGCAACCGCGGTGAACTTTTCTATCGGCCGCGCAGCCGAGGAACGCGTGGATCGAACGCCGAACAACGGGAACAAAAATGAAAACGAAAACGAAAGCGTAGAACTTCCCGGAGGTGACGTAAGCGACGCGTGCAGGCCGAATCGTTACCGGGTGACCTTAAAATTCGGCCGGGTGCGATTCGAGCGCGATTCGGCTGCGATTCGACGCGACCGCGACCGCGACTGCGACCGCGACCTCGACGTGCGGTTCGAGGCTGCCGCAGCGGAGGCCGAAACGCGGAAAGAAATGTTTTCGCGGAGGAGAGCAGGGCCGTGGCCATTTTTGTTGGGATCGATCGGGATCGGCGCAGTTTGTTGGAAATTTAGAATTTTTGGATCGTAGAACCTGGCCCCGCCAGGGTTATCGAGCGACCCACTTTCTCCCCTCCCTCCCGCTGCATTCTCTCGTACTCTCCTTCACCGAATTCTATTCTCCCTGCACCGCGTGGTACCGTGACCAAGGGGACGTTTCTCGACGTTAACCTTGCCTTATCGACGAATTTTTAATAAAATCTGCGTCGCCTCGCCCCCGTCCCTCGTCTCGCCGAGTCCCGCATCATCTCCTCTTATTTATTTAATCCTAGATTACCGTGACCCCCGCACGCGAATTACGTTATTACGAAACTTTCGCAACGTTCGTTACTCGGCTCGACGACGCGTTTCAGTTTTCCTCGACGACGTTGTTTTCACGAATAATCGAATTCTCGCGAATAATCTGCTGCAATTATCCGGCTCGCGCTTTCTTCGACAGATCTTCGAACCGCGTTAATACAATATCGCCTCGTTTCCTTGAATTTTCTTTGTCACGCTCGACGTAAAGGACACGCGTTTCGTTACGAAACGCGAACGCGTACGATCGTTGCAACCGTATACCTTCCCGGTCGAACGAAACAGCGAGCAACTTCGTCGAACTTGGTTACGACTCGGCGTTGCAATTAGCTATTTACAACGATGGTACATTGTTTCCGAGAACCATGGGAGAGACACCGAATCGTTTATGCCGCCTGGTAGAATCGTTATGGGCGCGTTCTTGCAAAAACGATTAATGTTTACGAAGCTGGCGCGAAAACGTTGAAATATTATGATCGATTGTCGGCGCTCGAGGGTTAATACGCTTAAAGTTTCGGCCGTGCTCCCGCGGAAGCACTTAACGTTTGATCGGCACGATTCGTCCGTGACAAGTGCGCGAGAGCAAATGCATTGGAAAACGCTCCTGCCGCCGCGATGACACCTATCATCGTCGAGAACACCGGAAGCTTTATTCGTCGGGAAGAGAAATCTCGACAGATGTCCGCTAAGCCGAGTAACAACAAAAGCGCGGGGCTTCGAAGCGTTTCCGTATCTTCGACGTTGCACCGTCCGACCGATAATCGAACGAGACGTTTTCAAGACTTTTCGTTACGTTACGGCCCGCTAAAAATATCCAGGCCGTTTCGTTTTCACCCGACGCTATTTTGCGACTCGACGTGTCTATGATCCACCAAAAAGTTAGCAGTCCGGAAATGCCTTTGACCACACGGCTATCTACGAGGCATGAAACCCTGGCCTAATAATGTTAAACGGCAGATTGGCCACCGGGGATCTACTTAAATGTCGCTGGTTTTTAGAAACCCAGAAATAACCGGTGGCATTTGAAATGTTTGCAAGATCGTGGCTCGATCGAGTCGATTTTTCGAAGGCACTGCCCCGCTCGTCCAAAGCGGAAACTGGATAACTAGCCATTGCAAACCTTTGTCACTGTAATAATTAAGCTCTGTCCCGTGTAAGCTCTGATCACTGCGTGCCCGCTACGCCTGCCTCATAATAGACGGTAACCAAAGGGGTTGGTTCTGTAGTTTCGACGATCGAGCTAACGGCCTTTAAGGGCTCAATTAATTACCGTTAACCAGAGCTAAACGAGAAGGCAGTTACAGCGTTAACCCTCTACTATCCCAATAGTTGAGCCCTATTTCGTAACGTCTTCTCTCATAACGGGCTGGAACGCGTTGGAGTTTTAATGCAGAATCAATTACCGTTAAACCAGAGTTAAAAGAGAAGCTATGGTACAACCTCGGGACGCTCCACCGTCGGAATGCTCGAGCTTTTTATTCCGTCGATTCGCTATGTCCGATAATTGACCGCGACAGAGGGGTCGATTCCTCTAGTTTCTTCAACGGATTAACGGATGTTAACCGGATTCCGGATTCCGGATTCCACCGTATCGACTTCTGTTTCTAAAGATGAAAAAATCGAGACAGCGTTAGTGGGTCAACATTCGTATCTCGATTGAACGGGGGTGAAGAATCGCGATGGAATGGTCTTCGAGGCCGTTCCCCTTACCTTACCTTATCGGTGGCATATTCGTGTCAACGAGAACGAACGAGAACGAACGAGAACGAACGAGAACGAACGAGAACGAACGAGCTCGATCCCTTTCGTTTCCAGTTCCCGTTGATTACATAAGGATCCGCAATGTCACGCAGCCTTCGTCGGTTCCTCACGCGACGCGACCAACTTTTGCTCCTAGTTCTGTTCTGCGATCAGCTCTGCTCCCGTGTGCCTTGCCAGCCGGTCGCCCTATTTACCGCTGATCGAACATCTCGTTCCCGAACGTCGTTGAGAACTGCTTTTTCCCGCATCGTACAATCCCGACGAATGTTTTCACGCCGAACGAAGACAACCACCGGGCAGGCCGTCGCGTCGCTTCGATCTGTCCTCTTCAAACCCCGCCGACTCGGTGGTTGCTGCGAGATCTGTCCGGTATTTTAGCATGCCATTAGTATGCCACGTTCCATGGTGGACAGGAAAGTCGAACGAGTTCTATTCGAAAACGCGGGATTTGGGCGAATGCTGTTCGAACCAACCATTCGTGACCCCTAAGCTGATATCTCTGGCCATCTGGCCGGAGATAACCCGGCCTGGCGCGTAAATAAATAAAGGGAAAAATGTCGATAAATATCGACGACGAATTAACCGGCCGACAGAGTCGAGAATACGAGAAATCACCGAATGTGCAAACGAATCGTTACATAAACCGTGTTCTGGAGAACGAAGTTTTGCATTCTTCTACCAGGGTTATATCAAAGAGCATCGAAGATAAAAGCAATGATCGTACGATCGAGTCATCGCCAATGAATCGATTAGGCCGCGTTCTTGATTGTTCCGCCGCGACGATAGTTGTGCCTCCGTGAATGTTTAACGATACGGAAGAGCTACGGGAACAGAGGGGCGGGAACGGCCTGCGGAACTTGTCCAAGGTCAGGGTGCCAAGCCACCCCCGCGGCCGCTATATTTTCGTGGCGCTGCTTTCAACGAATCCGAGGAAGGGAAGCCAGTGAAGGAACCAAGCCCGTCAGTCGATACAATTTACGCTGCATTCTGCGAGGAAACCAAACATTACACTGCTGGCAACGTCAACACACGCATTAGAGCCTGTTAAATAGCTTCCCTTCTTTCTCTTCTTTGCACAACGTCGCTAACATTTGCCGTTGCGCATTTATCTTGTTTAGAGAGCTAAAAATGCATACGACGGGTGCATCGTTGACTCGGGCTAATTTTTAAGCGAACTATAACCTGCCAACAACACTTTCGTTCCGACCCTTCTTTGCATAACCTTGCCAATATTTACCATTGTTCGTTTATCCAACCGACAATCTTCTGCTTAGAACCATGAAAATTCGCTGTGCTCGCTGCGCGGAGGGATCTAGCATCGAACAAAAAGTTGTACAACATTAGATTGCAAATCGACCGTTCTACCACAGTAGGCTAATTTTGTTATTAAAAATGCCCCTGTTAAACACGAACATCGGTATTGAACCTAATCTCCTCGCTCGTGAATCTAATGCAATTAACGGTAATCCGCTGTTCTGGGAGTTCGATGTTTTTCCGCGAAAACATTTCTATTCCAGCTTTTGTTCGAGGATGTGCGTTCCTGGTCGACTGCCAATTTAATCGGCCTTTCCCGACTGAATTTTCCCGACTGAAGTTACTCGAAAGATTTCCCTGTGCGACACCGTCAAGTTCGACTTGTTTTTAAACTCGATTCGAAATGCACGCAACGAATGAACGATTCGTGCATTTCGTCGAGAAACCAATGAGACGTCGGCCATCCCTTGGAGAACGCAGACTGTCGTCATACTTACGTAATCGGGGATGCGCGAGTGCGGCCGAATTTTCTAGAACGTTTACGAGGTAAATTCATAGGTCCGTTCCGGCCGGATATTTGGCCGAATAGTTGCGAATGGCAAATATTGGCGGACAATTTGCAGACGGCGTTTTAGAAAATGTGTTCGCCGCGGATCCGGCGTTCTCGCCTATGCACGAGCTCTATTTTACCGCGAGTGTATCAGTAGGTCATCGCGCGCATTGGTCTGGGTTAGGTCTTTCTGCTCGATATCAGCTGGTGCCGTAACCGGACTCGCTGGGAGGGTGAATGGGGTTGCGTCGTGACGCCACAACGCGGCAGGGCCGTAGCCAATCGCCGGCACCCCGCCAGACGGACCGTGAAACGAACTCTCGACAATCGAATAAGCCGGACGCCTGCCTAAAAAGAAATAATTCAATTCTTATCGATCAACGAGATCAACGGGGGAAAAAAGGGATCAAAGAGACCTAACGATTTTGTCACTTCAATCGCTAAACCGTTTGAAATTTCACCTTCCCGTTTTTTTTCCTCTGATAAATAGATAGAATCCGTGTTGCAATGGAAACAAACGAATGGAATGTTGAAATTTTCAAATTCGAGAAGTCATCGAGTGTACGCGTGTACCAAAATCATCTATCTGTCTTGTCATTTCTACTTGTCAACGATTTATCAACGATCCAACGATACTTCTTATTACTATGAACTACTAACCCTCTGTCTTCGCAATTGATCGTCCATTTTTCCGAAAATCGAATGCTTGGTATCTCGGAGCCATTAACGGAGACTTCCTGGAGCCATTTATGGAAAATAATTGAATCGCGTGTGCGGAACGTTCGATGGCGCTACAATTTCCTGGAGCTCGATTAACCATCCGGGGAATGATAACGACAACGCGAATTCACGATGATACCATCGACTGTTCCGTAGCGTCTCTATCCACGCGGATCTCCAAATTAATAACCAACGGCAACAGACTAATTGCACGCGTAGTTAGCGACAAGCACGTGCATATTAGTGGCCCAGTTTTCAGAGAATTGCGGCACGCGATAAGGGCGGAGAACACAAGGAGTCGCGGTTTATAATATGGATCCAGCTGTTCTTCGAAGTCCTGACTCCTGACCTAAGCTATCCTAATCGATAGAGTAGCCTGGCGTTTCGTGATATGTCGCTATAAGCCAGTTCCTGTTTCTTCAAAGTTCCTTCCTCTTTCGCGAAGCCGCGTTTTCTCTTCCCTTCGGGTCACACTAAAATCTATACTCCACCTATAAAGCCGTCGTCGACGTATCTGGGACTAAACGGAGCGTCGGATTTAGATTAGAGTCGGCCGAGTAGTTCGGCCCGAGTCCGTAGGCCGTAGACTATGGTTATATCGTAGTTTAGGCTGGAATTGTAACGTTTCGGTTAGACCGTATGTCAAGTGCACATGAATAAGTCATCGCTTAACGCGTGTCGCGATCATGGTTGTAGTTTAGTCTTCAGACAGCAGGATTTGAGTTGCTCACCTCGTGGCCGATTCTTCCGAAATATTCTCGTCCATTGATCGCTCGGTATCGTCGGAACGATCGTGACAATTAACACGAAATTCGTTTTCCAGGTGAAGCAATAATATGTTATCAATGCAACAGCGAATACGATCCAAGGTGTGGCGATCCGTTCGATCCGTACACTCTTGGGACCGTGAACTGCAGTTTTCAACCACGACTGGAGCACCTGAACCACTTAGAACCTACTATCTGCCGAAAGATCAGCCAAAAAGGTACGCTGCTCGATCTAGTTGTCATCGATATGACATGAATTATTTCTGATTCACGAAACAATAGTAAGTAGTCTGCTCTCTGTATCTGCACGACCATGGCATCAATAATTCAAGGATTAATCCTGCGGCATCTAGCACGGTCGCCTGCATTGCGGTGTCCTCGTAGCCCTAAAACCCCTAACCATCGTGCCGAGAAAAAGCACGTGCAACCGTGCAACCGTGCAACCGTGCATCCGTGCCCTTTAAGCTCGCAACGATATTAACCGAGATGCACGGCGCCGGCCGCGGCCGTGTAATTTCCTCAAACTGTGCTTGCATAATCCCCCCTCGCAATCTCCTCCACCTATCCGTTGGGATAGGTCTTTGAGGAATTTGCGCAGGTGGTCTTTAACGACTGTATCCGTTCTGAGAATGCTCCACCGTCGCATTCAATTCGAGATCTAAACTCGGAACTGTGCATCTTCGAAATCTTCTGTTCCCATCGTTTCCCGTTCCGCGATTCCGAATCCGATTAATCCGAATGAGATTCTTTCAAGATACATCTGCGACGTATCGTAACTGTTTACGCCTCGGTTCGGCGCCACTCTATTCTCGCAATCGAACTCGTTACCGATATGCATAATTGATCCGGCGCGACGGCGGAGACGGAAACGTTTCATCGGTCATACGCGCACTCGTGCATGAAATTAGTACGCAAACCATTGAAAATAGTCCCGTAACAGGGAAGTAGCAAAATATTTGGACTGTTCAAGTTCAAGGTCGACTTCGACCCGCTGAAACAAACGAGCGAATTGTTTAAAGCAATGCAAGACAACGTCTACCTTCTTTAAAGAAACTACATACTTTGGATAGTACAATCGAGCGAAATCTTGTGATCAGACCTAGTAAACGAAGCGAGGAGCTCCTGACGGAATGATTCGAATGTTTCTGTGGTTTCAGTGTACGGGAAAATCAGGGTAGTCAGAGGCTGCGGATACATCACGGACGAGAGGGACAACGCGGAATGCGTGAAGAGATCGGGCACTCACGACGTACAGGCACACTACTGCTCATGCACCGGTGATCTCTGCAACTCGGCCGAAAGCCGCACGCCGTCCTTCTTACTGCCGTTGACGTCCCTGTTCACGGTCGTTCTGGCATTGCCGAGTCTGTTACTTTCGTACCCGCTCGCAGCATCTGTCTTAACTTCGCCGTACTTCTCCATAGCCTAAAATGATTATTTTCGGCCATTAGCGGACACAATACACGACGCCTAAACCGAGTCAACGATTCAATAGCGACCGTTCGCACCCGGGCCAACTCGTTCCCCTCCTGTTCCATTTTTAATCGATCAGCGATCCAGGAATTAGCAAACAGGAATAATCGCGGAGAAAGAAGTTTCAGTTTCGTCGTTCCCGTGAGTCAAAAGTTCTTTCATTCCTCTATTCGGACCCGCACCGATTGCCGGTAAAGAAGGGTAACGCGAGATTGTCAACGAGTTGGCTACAGTTTACGGCCAACATTGTCGCTCTTGTTTTTCCAAACGGGATGTTTTCCATTGTCGGGAATAGAGAAGAGAAAAAATAAGAGAGAGAGAGAGAGAGAGAGTAAGAGTGCACAATACACCGAAACACACGTGATCCGGGGCACGAACGATTCACAAAAAATAAAAAAAAAATGAAACAACAATACTCATAGTTGAATTACAAAAAAAAACGTAGTTGTAAACAGTGATACAAACTGCCAGAGATACGCGAGATCGATCGTACATCGGATAGTACGCTTCCCCGAGATAAATTCAAAAAAATGGAAGATTTGAAATGAAAACGAAAAAATCTAAGTGAAACACACATACACGACTATGGCCTCCGCGTGAAAGCAACCGGCGTCTCTCGCATAAGCGTAGAAAGTAAATAAATTGAAATAAACCTCAAGATATTTGTATATGTATATATGTATATACATATATATATATATATATATATATAATAAATAAAAGAATCTATATATACATATGTATACATATATATGCATATGGTAGCGGTATCGCGAATACGTTCGCACGTTTGTACGCTACTGCTGAGGAAAACACAGAGAGAAACAAATAAATATATATATTATATTTTATTGGGAGGAAGCAGAAATGGAATTGCACGCAAGAAGGATATTACAGCTTATTTTTAGAAAAGTAACATCGGGTCGTTTTCGTGAATGCGCATGGTCGTCGTGTAACGAGCTTTGTCGAATAGAGAGAACGGTGATCAAAGGGAAACATATCGTCGCGTACGTCTATATTTTGCATTTCGTTGACGGACAAACGAGGGAAAACGAAAGAAGGAGAACAAAAACGACGGTTTCTGCCATTACGATCACGACCTGTGTTCCGCTGATTTTTGCAATAAAATGCTGTACGTAAATGATAGATGGTAGCGGAGGCTCGCGAATGAAAACCTGATGTGTGCATGTGTGTGTCTGACGTATGACCGTTCCTATGAATGCATGCGCATGCGCGAGTGCTTGGTACACGCGCGCGCGCGCGCGTGTGTGTGTGTGTGTGTGCATGAGAGTGCAAAACGCGCGCGGAAGGAATGCTAAAGAAGACAGAAACACTCGGACATAGTTTGCTCGAGAAGTAAACAAATGTTACTATTACTTCGATCATAGTCGAACTAATAAAAATATATATACATATACATATATATGTATGTATATATATATATCTAAGAACAGAAGAAAAAAACACGAAAAAAAACGTACACACAGGAGTCGTAACGAAACCGTAACGAAGATGTAGAATTGTCGATGGAGAAAGTAGAGGATAACGTAGAATGCTTATTGACAACAACAATAACAATAACAACAACAACAACAACAACATTAACATCAAAAACACATGTCTCACCGCAGTACCTAAATTAATTGCCGCTGCCGCTGTTATCACCGTGTCGTCTCGCCACCATTGTTACACTATTATTACAACCGCTATTACTAATTACTAATATTACTACTGTCGGAATTACCAACTTCTTGTTACCATCAACATCGTTACTGTTGTCATTGTTATTCTTTTTTTATCGTTACTGTTATGATTGTTAAACAATGGTTAGAAGAGCAACTATGGACAGTGGACGAACGTCCCGCCAGACAGAATAGAGATATCTGTACGTAGAGATTTTTTCATGCGACCACTTGCGAGTCCAGATTGTTAGTGTTTTAAATGGAAAAACATGAATTTCTCGAGGAATGAGAACTCTAAGAATTAATAGCTGCCATTTATGGAAATTCGATTTTACTCTCGTTTTAAGAACAACGTCGTAATGTTATGGGTGTTTACTTTTTCAAGTTTACATTTGGTCTGATTCGTAAGTGTTCGTTAGAAGAAGCCCCAAAATGCCAGAAAGAGACCGATGCGTTTTATTACCGATAAAATTTCGAATTACCTTATACCTTGGACTGCGGATGAGCATAGGATCAAGCACGGAGTTTGAAATCCTCGAAACCACTCGAAACCACTGACTCGCATTTTTTTGATACACAAGTCCCCAGTTGCACGCGCGTTACGCGGCTTGCTTCAGAAACGTGGTGTTCGCGGGAAGATGTAATCGTATAATCACGTCGAATCGTACTTCTTTCTCCCTATCCGTTGCGACCACGAGTATACACTGGATTCCCTGAATTCGCACGTGTTTTGTAATGTACACATGANGATATTTGTATATGTATATATGTATATACATATATATATATATATATATATATAATAAATAAAAGAATCTATATATACATATGTATACATATATATGCATATGGTAGCGGTATCGCGAATACGTTCGCACGTTTGTACGCTACTGCTGAGGAAAACACAGAGAGAAACAAATAAATATATATATTATATTTTATTGGGAGGAAGCAGAAATGGAATTGCACGCAAGAAGGATATTACAGCTTATTTTTAGAAAAGTAACATCGGGTCGTTTTCGTGAATGCGCATGGTCGTCGTGTAACGAGCTTTGTCGAATAGAGAGAACGGTGATCAAAGGGAAACATATCGTCGCGTACGTCTATATTTTGCATTTCGTTGACGGACAAACGAGGGAAAACGAAAGAAGGAGAACAAAAACGACGGTTTCTGCCATTACGATCACGACCTGTGTTCCGCTGATTTTTGCAATAAAATGCTGTACGTAAATGATAGATGGTAGCGGAGGCTCGCGAATGAAAACCTGATGTGTGCATGTGTGTGTCTGACGTATGACCGTTCCTATGAATGCATGCGCATGCGCGAGTGCTTGGTACACGCGCGCGCGCGCGCGTGTGTGTGTGTGTGTGTGCATGAGAGTGCAAAACGCGCGCGGAAGGAATGCTAAAGAAGACAGAAACACTCGGACATAGTTTGCTCGAGAAGTAAACAAATGTTACTATTACTTCGATCATAGTCGAACTAATAAAAATATATATACATATACATATATATGTATGTATATATATATATCTAAGAACAGAAGAAAAAAACACGAAAAAAAACGTACACACAGGAGTCGTAACGAAACCGTAACGAAGATGTAGAATTGTCGATGGAGAAAGTAGAGGATAACGTAGAATGCTTATTGACAACAACAATAACAATAACAACAACAACAACAACAACATTAACATCAAAAACACATGTCTCACCGCAGTACCTAAATTAATTGCCGCTGCCGCTGTTATCACCGTGTCGTCTCGCCACCATTGTTACACTATTATTACAACCGCTATTACTAATTACTAATATTACTACTGTCGGAATTACCAACTTCTTGTTACCATCAACATCGTTACTGTTGTCATTGTTATTCTTTTTTTATCGTTACTGTTATGATTGTTAAACAATGGTTAGAAGAGCAACTATGGACAGTGGACGAACGTCCCGCCAGACAGAATAGAGATATCTGTACGTAGAGATTTTTTCATGCGACCACTTGCGAGTCCAGATTGTTAGTGTTTTAAATGGAAAAACATGAATTTCTCGAGGAATGAGAACTCTAAGAATTAATAGCTGCCATTTATGGAAATTCGATTTTACTCTCGTTTTAAGAACAACGTCGTAATGTTATGGGTGTTTACTTTTTCAAGTTTACATTTGGTCTGATTCGTAAGTGTTCGTTAGAAGAAGCCCCAAAATGCCAGAAAGAGACCGATGCGTTTTATTACCGATAAAATTTCGAATTACCTTATACCTTGGACTGCGGATGAGCATAGGATCAAGCACGGAGTTTGAAATCCTCGAAACCACTCGAAACCACTGACTCGCATTTTTTTGATACACAAGTCCCCAGTTGCACGCGCGTTACGCGGCTTGCTTCAGAAACGTGGTGTTCGCGGGAAGATGTAATCGTATAATCACGTCGAATCGTACTTCTTTCTCCCTATCCGTTGCGACCACGAGTATACACTGGATTCCCTGAATTCGCACGTGTTTTGTAATGTACACATGATTCATGGTTTCACCTTCCACTCCTGTTTAACAGAGGTTATGCGATACGCAAATCACAGGTGAAGACTTCTGCGATAATGTTACTATTGCTCGTTTAGTTTAAAAGTTCACCGCGACTCACGAATGTTGAACACAGTTGGTTGCGTCACGTGACCGAACTCTCATTGTCCCGGTTCGAATAGAGCAGGAACGTACCTACTTGCGAAAAACTTGGGCGTAGAACCCTTTTTTCTGGTCTTTCGAGTAACAAGAATTCTAGTACCTCCGAAGAAAATTTCTCTGAAAATTTCTTAGCGATATAATCATCGAGTAAAACTTGTACCAGAACCAGGACGTTCCCTTTTTCAAACGGATTAATCACGTGACTTTGTTATGACAGATGTGCCCGTAATCTAAACGAGCGATACATCGGTTAATCGTACCCATGCCTGTGTACAATTAACGAAAAATAATTAGATCCTGAATGACATGTGTATCCGTGGAACGAAGGGCTCCACTGTGCACTGCCCTGTTCAAGTCATAAATCTGGAACAACGGATAGGGAACAGACGAAAGACGGAATAAAAGACGAAAAAAACTAGCCGAAAAGGAAGAATTTCGTTATGTTCCGCTCAATTAGTTTAGTTGATCGTCTGGCTGTTTTAGATGGTAAAAAGGTACATAATAATATCCTAAACATGCCTAGTGATCTTTCAGAGTTGAAATTTCTTATTTTTGCTTGAAACGTCAGATAAACGTGGCATAAAAGAAAAAAATGTAACTACTAGTTGCTCGTCTGTATGTAACGTTTAAGCCGATTCGTAAGATTAGAACTCCGTCTCAAGTTACTTTACTAATAAGTAAGGGCAAAAGATAATTAGCCGGTCAGGCTTCGTCGTTTCGTCGTCTCGTTGGGAAGATCGAACGAGAACGGTAAAAAGGAAACAAAAGTGATTGAGTTTTAAAAAGTTATACAAATACAAAGAAGAAAGAGAAAGATGCATTCGACGTTACATATTATTATCAAACTGTGGACTTTATGCATTTATAGCATACTCGATCGTCTAAAATTCAATATAGTACAAAGTGTAAAGAAAATATCATGTGGTTTTTATTTTACTCGTAACCTATACAGTCCTGTATGCTAGAAGCAAAAGAATTTATATCTGCCGTTCCAAGTTCCACGATCTGTATAGTTCTACACGAAAAATCTACATTTGCATAAATGCCGGTAATCTGATTATTATACTCGTGTAATGCAATTCGTTAAAATCGTAGGATGAGATCACTTATTCTAGTGATTACTCGGATCCGACTGTACTTACTAATCTTTTCCCTTTACTGCATACAGAATTTGCATGCATGGCAAACGTAAAATTGACCCGCCAAAAAATAAAAAAAAAAAATAAACAATAAAATAACAAGAAAACGTACGAAGCATCGTGATACGTCCATAGAAGGCAAACATAAGCGAAAACCTCTTGTCCTATCGATGTAACGTGATCCACGATGACCATAGAAAAACTGTGACGTCTAACCAATAAAAACTAAACGATGATGACACCCCTTTCTTTTGAACGTTCCATTTCCTTTCTGGCGCGTGTCTATAGTCCGTAGTGAATCATAAACAGCGGAATGTAACGAAACCATTAGTTCCGGTTCCTATTTCGAAACGCACGCGGGAACTTTTAGCGAAACTCGTTTCATACATATCGTCCACCCACGATTACAAGGCATACTTCGACATAATGATGCCACTTGGCTACACTGCCGCCTGTTCAAGCATATCGAACGCGAGAGAGAAAGCATAGAAAGCGAAAGCAAACGAAAGAGAAAGGAAAATCGGGAATCGCATATACATAATTCCATTCGGATTGCACTATCAGTTTGACATGAATCTCGTTACGATATAATGTACACGTTACGTTTCATTAGCAAAATTCACCAGATATCCTCTGCAAGGCATCAAGACAATGTCCACGTCAATGTTGTTCAGTTGTATCGTAATATTTATTATCGTATGATATCAATATTACATTGTACGCGTCAATCACTATGTACAGAGAATATTCTGCCAATAAAGTATTGAATGGTTACCAAAAAAACAAGAAAATAGAAATCATGATTCGGAGATGACATGAAATTTAAACAAAGCGTCATATATTGGTAGTCCAAATGTAAAAAAGTGCATCTTCTTTCATGTATTAAATCGGTATCATTTCATTCGAAAATAATCTATACTATATTTTTGTTTACTATCACTTATTTCATGTTATTTCTTATCTAGCTACCAATCGAAATACTAAAGAAGAGGTAAGGACTGAATAATACAGCAAGTACTACGTTAGAACACATTATATTTCTCTATCAAGAGGTTAATTAGGAATTAAGAGCGCTCGTTAAATGTAGAAAAGACTTAATCACTAATTGAAGTAAGTTCTTATGTTATAGTCTCTATTAAGTGAAATATATAAAAATTGTTTACTTATCGAATGATAGCACCATGTAGAATAGATTGGAATCGAAGGAACGTGAGTATTTTGCGCGATGATCGGTTGAAAAAATGTAATCGTGCAGTAAATATTTCAAAAATGAAAAACACCGTATAAAAGGCTGACGCTATTTTTGTCATAATAGAATATTCTGTACAGAATACTCTTTCGTAATCGATATTCAGAAGGCACGAAAGTCGACATATCGATAGCTGACCGGAAGACACAGAATCACTCGATCAGCGTGTCTATAATTTCACTCTTACATTTACTACGTGTTCTCTTATGTGAACATATGAAATTTCTCAACTTCAAATTCATAGGCTAATTGATTATCAATATCCTCGTTGCGATATAAATATGTAAATGCATCAACGACAGTGAAAGCAAACGACTGCTTTAATACTGTAGCATTTTGTATGATACTTGCATTCTGATGCTGAGTCAGAATTACAATTAAGCTCTCTTGAAGATCTTTTACTTTTTACCGAACGTCAATTAATGATTTTTCTCTGAGCTTGTTTTTCAAATTTACTTGTTGTAAAAAAATAAGTTTCTAAATATGCACTGGTCCAAAAGTACTAACGAAACAAGTTATATTTGTCTCGTATTAATGCCGCGATTATATTTAGTCGACTAGATCACTAGTTTGTGTAGAAGGTTTAATTAAAAAATCAATATTTCCACAATATAAACGTTATGCGGGCAGATAACAAAATGCATATTAAAAAGATTCAATTCGAATGGTTCTGAGTAAAAGTAAAAAATAAAAAAAAGAACGTTAATCATTATAACACTTACTCGTAATCAAGTGTTAAGAAAATGGAACGCTTGGATTAGTATATGAAACAAGCGTGTATTCGTCAGGACTCGGTATGTTTGAACTCTCGAAGTGCTAAGTATCTGAGAATATGACTATGTCGGCCGACTTTTCCTCTTCCGTGGATACAAACGGTGTCACAACTTGCATGTTGACCGATATATACAACGGATAAGTAAGTTCTTTGTCCAAAGACATCACTAGTTTCTATAAAATTAAACACATATGTTATCTCCATGAAATTTGAGTATATATATATATATATATATATATATATATATATATAAATAGTTGCTTGCTTACCTCTTCATTTTTGTGGAGTAATAACCTAAGCATACCGGAACTCTGTATGTGTTTCTCTTGACGTTGTTCATCCAATGAAATTAAACTTACCCTGAAGATACATGTGTTTATGTAGAGTTAGCAATGAAAGCGTAAGGTGCTGTATAAGCTCTTGAACAAGTTTGTGATTGTACTCACTTTAAAATTATATTGTGCTTGCTGTGATTAGCTTTAATAAGATCTGTGTCTAATCTATGATTTCTCTTAATCCTCAAAGTAGTGCTATCCAAACACACGACCAAATTTAATCCAAAGTGAAACGCTGTCCATCTCCAAGTATGCTCACCGACCTTTTCAATACATCTTCCGCAACGGAAACATTCGCGTGCGAATTCCTCTTCACTCATTTGTTTTGGTCTAAAATCATTAAAAAATATATTATTACGATATTGTCATCCACCGATTGCCATTCCATCGCTCTGTTACTTGTAGAGTAGTTATCATAGGTACCTAAAGTAGATCGACAAACAAGAGAGTAGGTTTTTCAGAGTGAACATTCTGTCCTCGAAGCTGGATGTAAAAAGGAAGGGAAGAAAAAAGAAGGCACATTTTCGAGAGGCACATTACTACGTCCATTGTCCTAAGCATAGATCAGGAATATATTTAAGAAACATGCAAATTCCTAACTTACCCTCGATCTTTATTCGCGTCTATTCTTAATAAATGTAACCATTGTTCCTTGTATGCATTGTGCAACCATTCGTGTGGTATCAGATTGTCGCTGTATAAAATCTTAACATCTTGATCATGTAATAAAAGGTACTTCATTCTCAGTGCTTTGAAAGGCGCCGCGAATTCCCTGCCTTCCTCCGTTATAAGAAAAGGCTCTGTCCATTTGTGATTCCGGAAGTACTCATCGATTTGTAATGTTTCTTCTTTATTGTGTACATGAACGAAGAGCCTGAAACAAAATTTGTTGTAATATACAAGAGCCATGTAGAAACAGTTGTTCGATGGAAATATACTGTTGCCTACCATACTCTTAGCATCATATATATACAGAACTCAGTTTGCATAGCAATTAAATCAGGGCTAGCAATTAACTCAGCCATTAGATCTGGTGTGATTTCTTTCAAGAAAGTTGGATGCAGCCATCCATATCCTAAAAGATTTACTTCCAGCCAGCGTTTGGCTGCTGTCTTTACCATTGGTACACCATATGATACAGCAGCATTGTAATAAGGGACAACAGTTTTTATGTTTGTCGTCTCCACCATGATGTCTGTGCATTGGTCGATCAACCCTTGCAATTGGAATAAAGTGGAGGTAGCCAAAATTGATATGACATCCTTTGGTTCCAGACTGACTTCATCCTGGTAAAAGGAACCAAAGACTGTCAAAAGAGCTGAAAGTATTTCAAATTAATACAAATATTTATCCTTGATCACAGAAAAACGTTTATGAATATTTCCACGAATGCTATTTACAATCTAATGTAATGTTGGGATCTGCAATTTCCACACTGATAACTGTCTCATTCGCTTCCCTCCAAGATCCAGAAAACATACTTGCAAAATATGGGCTCTGAAAGGAAAATATATATATTTTGTATATAAATACTATGAAGATTATTATATATAATTTTAAATGAAACCTGTTGTTGCTAGGGCAATTAATAATATTATCCTTACCAAATGTATAAATAAAAATTGTGTTACTGTCTATATTTTAAAAATGTTGATTGTGATAAATGCAATAGTCAACATGATAGAGGTAAGAAATTACATAAAAGGATAGTTAAAATAGGTTCAATGAATTAAATATAAGGAAACATATTTGTATAAATATCACGAATGTACATTCATGAATACAATAGAATGAAATACTGTTTGTGAATGAAGTAAATTCTTCAGTATTCATCAGCTCTACCACAATATAACCGATTCAAGAGCATTATATTCACACAAAGCATCGACCCAATGACATTACCTGGCTAATATAAACTTTATGTAATCTCCATGCTTTTCCTAACATGAGCACAGTTATATCACTGCCTTTTTCTTCTTGAAATAGAGTTTTATATATATACTGTGCTGTTGTCAGCAATTTTCTCCTAGAAATATACAAAACGAATGATTAATAACAATGTCTAAGAAACATAAAGAGAGAAACGCGTTGACGTTGCTACGTCAGTAATACATAAAACGGAGGTACTTGGACTGGCAATGTTTAATATTAATAATGTCATCAAGTAAACTTGCTGCTAATAAAAATAAGCGTAGTGTTGTTGTGGACGTACTTTTTCGGCGTTTGTAGGGTACGATCAATGTAATCTGATTCAGAATCGAAGTCATCTTCCTCGATGCACTTTCGTTTACGACCACGGTACACTGAGTGCACTGCACTATTTGACATCGATGCAATTCGACTCGCGTAACTTCCCATTTTGTCGCGTTTTTATTTAATACGTATAGGAAATTTCAAGTTGAAATATTGGCGAACACCTGAGAATCCTCGACATTGTTTTCTAATGCAGAGAACCTGCCGTAGCGTAGAAGGCTCGTGCCACGCCACAGCACACAGTGTTCAGTATACACGCAACACGCAACGCAAGAAGGCTTGCTCTCATATATGTATGTAAATAGGTGGCCCTGTAGAAACCTTCGACATATGTATACGCATACGCATCATGGAGTATACATATGTATATGTAAGCATGTAAACATGTGACGTAACAAAAGATATGACGTCACCGCTTGAATGGGAATGCTATGCACACTATTTGCGGATAGAATGCTCCATACGAGGCTCATCCAATTGCGTGCGTCTTCTCGCTTGGGTGAAAGTGTCCAATGCGCGTTAACCATAAAAGGTACAAACAGGATGTTTCATTTATCTGGACCATTCGGATTACATATTCGGAGTTTCCACATCGTACAATACCGGTGAGAATTGTTGATTTCAATTTTTTCATTCGATTATATACTACGTTTATTCGCAACTTCTCCTTAAACACATTATTTTTTAGAATTTTCAAATTCACGACTAGTTTATTTTTGCGAATATGTATAAATATATTCACCGAAAGTCATTCGACTATCGTCACAGTAAACACATGTATTAGATGAACTGGCCTTTTCTTTTTACAACAATGTAAATTGTAAACGTGATACGTTCATAATACGTGCTTATCTTAACTTGCAAAATTCAAGTCTTATAGGCGCCATAATTCTGTGCTTAGACTTTATTTAAATATTTAATTTTTTTCTTGGTAAGAATAAGATCAATTCTGAAGAGGCTCGCTGATATAATAATATTTCTAACATATAAATAATAAAAACGTACATATGCATATATGTATATAGAAAAACAAATATTAATACATACATAAAACTGACTCATCTTCGCGACGCAATGCGCATGCTCGAACACGCTTGCGAGATGTCGCTAATGGCTGCTATGCAATGCGTAGCGTCAGGTTTCGTTGGGTTTCGTTACGTGCGCCGTGCGCTTCGCATAAGAATAACGGTGATTTATGTGTTCGCAATATATAAAAGTTAATTATTATGAGGAACGCTCCACATTAGTATAAATATTCCAAATAATACGAAGGCTAATAAGTTATTGTTGAAATACCGTTATAATTTATCTGGTTACGAAGACTTGATTCTCATTTCGACGAAGGTACGTAATCTTGTTTCTTATACACAATATTATTCTTACCTCTCTTTAATTATTAGATCTGTAAATTATAAGAAAACTTGATGAACTTATTTAAATGTTACACTATGTAAATCATATGTGTTTTATTTGTATATACTATTAAATGAGAACAATTGTATTACTGGCAGTTTCATTTATTATTAATTTATTATTATTAGAATATTGGTATTTTTTATACATATTCTTATACCGTTATGACTTAATTTTAATAACAAAGACTGTAAAAGTTGTTCAACATTGATTTGTAAGAAATCCTTATGAATATTGAATCAATTTTATGGTTCAAATTTTACAACTACATAGTTTTTCTTACAAAAGTGTAAGAATGTAAGAGATGCGAGATCTTACACAGGGATTTCAAAGGTAATAATAATAATTTTTTTTTATTTAATAGCAATGATGAATACTAATGAAGAACTGATGAGCACAGATTTGAATGCACTTGATTGTTCGTCTAAAGATACAATGGATATAGAATCAGCGATACAAAATCCTAAAAATCTTAGACGTCGAAGATTACGATATAAATTATATGAATTAAAAAAGAATTCTGGACTTGAAAGTGTGAATCAGTTACCAAATGGAAGTAATTATTTAAGTGAATTCTGCAAATTAGTGTGTAAACCAGTGTCCGTGAGACTCAGAAGATTAACAGACTCAGACTTGAAGAAACTGACTACAAAAGTGTCATCTAAAATTCCATCTGTTAGAAGGGCTCCGTTGGATAGATCACTTTATAAGTTTTATGGATATAAAACAAAAAAAAGGAAAAATACTATTAGTATAGAAGAACACGGTAAACAAATCCAGAAAAGAATAAAGAGTAATAAAATTAATAAAAATGTAGATAATAGTGTTGATGAGAATGTACAGAAAAATGTTAAGAAAAAAGTAGCACGAAATAGACCTAAGCGTTTATATAAAAAACGTCAGTTAAATAATACAGTGACTTCCAAAGTACAAAAATCTAGCAACCATGAACAACGTAAAGAAGATTTATTTAAAACTATTAAGCAGCCAATTATAGCATTAAATAGAATAGATGAAGTAATTAATAAGTTAGCACAATCATTTGCAAGAGTAACTTCGAATAAACAATGCTATACATTGGAACAGCCAGCAGTCAAACAATATATAGCTGTGACTCAAACTGAGGAAATTGGGTTGATGTCAGAACCTTTATTGATAAGCACCAATGAGAATGATTGTCTTCAGAATGACGAAGTTGCTGATAATATTAGTGAAACAGACAGTGATGACATATCCCAAATTAAAAGCAAATTTAAAAGGAAAAAGAGAATCTTTGATGATTCCAATAGTGATGAATCTGATAATGATGTATGGTATGAAACGAAAAAATTAAAATTGTGTTTGTCAAAGAAGGAAACTGCAACGACTTCCGATAAATATATTGAAGAGAAAGAAAATATTAACACTTTTAATCTAACATCTAAAGACTTAACATTTCAGGCTGGAACATCTCGAGAATCAAATGTTTCTTGTAAATTAAATGTACTTCCTAGCGAAGAAAATATAGAAGCAGACACTGCAAAAGGAAAATCACTTGTTGATAATGGAAAAGTAAATGTTGAGAATAATGAAGTAAATATTGAGGAAGGAGATCTGGATATTCGGAATGCAGAAATAAGTAACAGGAAAGAAGGAATGGATCTTGAGAACTTAAAAGTTGTTGAAGTGCAGGAAAAAGTAAATGATGAAAATGAACATGTGGATGTTGAAAATGAAGATATTGATGTTGAAAATGAAGGTATAGGTGTCGACAACAAAGGTATAGATGTCGAAAACGAAGGTATAGATGTCGAAAACGAAGGTGTAGATATTGAAAACAAAGGTGTAGATGTCGAAAATGAAGGTATAGATGTCGAAAACGAAGGTGTAGATGTCGAAAACGAAGGTGTAGATGTCGAAAATGAAGGTGTAGATGTCGAAAACGAAGGTGTAGATGTCGAAAGCAAAGGTGTAAATGTTGAAAATGAAGGAATAAATGTCAAAAACAAAGGTGCGGATGTTCAAAATCAAGGTGTAGGTGTTAAAAATGAAGATGTAGATGTTGAGAAAGGAGATCTAGACATTCAAAATGTAAAAGCAAATAACAGAAACGAAGAAATGGATCTTGAGAACATAAAGGATGTTGAAGTACAGGAGGAAGTTGATGTTGAAAATGAAGAAGCAGGTGTTCAAAGTCAACAAGTTGATGTTAAGACTGAAAATGGAAAGTATAATTTGGATGTATCAAAGAATGAAATTCAAGAAAGTATTGAGAGCCCCACAGAAGACTCTGTTTCCAGCTTGTTATCTTCAGAACTACATTTTGAGCATACTCCAAAATGTAGTACATGTTCTGTAGATGAATTCGTTTATACAAATTCAGAGATGGAGCAACATATACTGAAACCACTATTATCTGAAAATCAGTTAATACAAAAATACAAGTTGTATAAACAGCCGAAGATTTTATTGGTGGATTGTCAACGTATCAAAAAACCATCTGGTAATACATGTTCAGACATGAAAGTTGAAAAACTAACTGAGAAGAACATAAATATTTTACCAAATTGTAATTTTACACATATGACTAAAAATTATCTAATTTCAGGCATGTCTTGTTTAAAGAATATGATTATTAAATCAAAACTTGACAAACCTGTTTGTTCACACAAGATTATAAGAGGGAGGAAAGGAAGTGTAGAAAGAGAACATGTTTCTAGTAAATCCATGACCTCAAAGAAAGGGAAAATATACAAAATGATATCCGACAGCATCATTGGACATGGTATTGTATCTTCACATCTTCCAAAACAATCTATCAAAGAATTAGACACACTCTCTTCTACTGCTCCACAAAAGCCTAGTAAATTATTCCTTAAATCCACAGAAAGTACAGCTAAGAAAGCAAAATTTAATACTTCTGAAACTATTGACATAAAAACTAATGTTGCAAAACAACTTCATGTTTTAGGTCACACAAGTTCTCCAAACATAGATCAATTGGAAGATATAAGCATTGGCAATCATAAGACAGATGGAGAGAAAGCCATGTTGTTATGGGTTCCCATAACTTCCCCAACAAAACATAAAAAACTTGCAGAGAAGAAAGATACTATCAAACCGAAGGAAGTTTCCAGTACTTATAAATGCATTGTTTGTGATCTTTTCTTCGAGGATTATTCTGTTTTGCAACAACATTTAAGTACGCACACAAAGCAAACCATGCAAAGTCAGCAAAAGGCTATAGTTACAGAGAAGCATGCTGATGCTAAAGAAAAATCACAATCTCAACTTTCCACACTAGAAAGAAGAGACCTACAACAGTTTCTTATTGAAGATAGCACTTCTCAAGTTGCATCTTCATGTAGCCCATGCATCAATGCAGATCAAAAAGAGTCGCAGCACATAAGTCCACAGAAAAAAATAAAGGACGCGAAATCTAAACAGAGTTTGTCAAAGAAGCACAAACTTTGTAAACCGTCTAAACTGACGAACGAGTGTAGCGTATGTTTCCATGAGTTTGCAACAAGAGCAGATTTGGCAGCTCATATTTTCTTGCACACGGAAACTGAACTGAAAGAAGCATATAAAGTTGCAAAACTAAATTTGCAGAAGAATGACATTAAGATTGCAGCATCAGAAACTCAGAAGACAAAGGATTGTGTGGCAAAATCTACTCATTCAGTTGAAAAATCTTCAATGAACTCCAATGAGAGCAACACAAGTAGTAGTTTAGAAGCATCAACTATGCAAAAATGCATGGAACATGTACCAAAAGATGTTAAATTTATAGATGAAAAACTAAATGACATTCCAAAAATATGCAAATTAACCCATGGAGAAAGTAATTCTAATGGTCAAACTTCGTCTGTGACAAATAATGTAGCTAAAGTAAAAACGAGTAAAAAAAGCGGGACGAATAAAACATTGTTTACAATATGTCAGTGCCATAACACAGCAGACACCAACTTTAGTTGTTTACAAATTGAGATAGTTCTCCTATGTCACACTTGTGGAGTATTATTTCGAAGCATGGAGTGTTTCGAGACTCATTATCGTCTTCCTGAGTATTCGGCTTGTAATCAGAATCGGCCAGAGAGCGGTCGATCTCCAAATTTATTCTGTGCTACCTGCGGAATGATATTTAGCTCGGTTCAAGATGTGCGTCAACATCTAGAGATACATGTACGTTATAAGAAAGACTGCACAATGGACTTTCGTTGCAACATTTGCAAAGTGATGTTCATTGGAATCGGACCTCTCTTTTATCGTCATTGGTTAAACCATACAAAGGATCCATTCTGGGTAGCCAGTGAACAATCATTTCCCAAAATTTCTGTGTTGAACTTAAAATCCAAGAAGCTGGGTGTAGCATCTAATCCAGGTGAATTTGTTATCTATAAATGGCTAGACAATTACATTCATGTTGCAGAACATGTTTGTTTGAACTGCAAAATGGCTTTCAATAAAGAAGACCACTTAAAGGAACACGAACAGAATTGTAAAGCAGTTAGTGTGTTAAAAAGTCCGAATGCGAAGTCCAATGTTACTACAGACGTGATGCTACTAAAGTTGCATTTTATTTGTAGTCTCTGTGATAGCACTATTCCAAACAAAGCAAAGTTGTATGCACATATGAAGAACACGCATAAATTCGCCACAGATCCCCAATTTGTATGTGTGTCCCTTACAAATATGGCGAAAACGTTCATTTGCAATGTTTGTATGGCGATCAGTGCAAATATCGATAAGTTCAACGAGCACTGGTTCGATCACTATGTGAGCCAACCATGTTTCGATTGTCCATATTGTGAGAAAACTAGCGAGAGCTTGGATACTTTCAAAAGACACATCAAGGAGCATGTGACAACACCAAATGACGACATAATTACGATATCTTGTAAGGTACACTATCGCAAAGTTAAATACCATTGCAAACCATGCTATATTGGTTTCAACTCAGAGAAATTGTTAAACGAGCACAATGTTATACATAACACAAGTAGTATAAATAATGGAAATAGTAACGAAGCGACGACTCCGGAGAATTCTAGATTATGTGAAAAACTGATAGATAAGGTATCTGCTAAGGAAGAAAAAGACACAGGGGAAGAAGCTGATAAAGGTGATCAATCGACAGAGGATCAGGCTGTTAAAGAAGATCACGTATCAGAGGATCAGATCGACAAAGAAGATCAAGCTACGAAAGAGAAGACTGATACAAGAAATCAAGTAACACAGGAACAAACTACACAGTGTTCAAAGTCTAAGGCTGACATTGAAAAGGAGAGATTAATCAATATATTGGAAGGCAACGAGGAGGAAGACTCCGAAAATGAGTTGGTAATAGACTTGGCAGATCGTACAGAGTTACAGAACGAGTTAGCAGTAACAGACAGATCTAAAGAAAAGCAAGTTGTAACTACCGGCACGGTAGGTACGTTAAACCCTGCTTCACAATCTACTCCACCTCCAAACAGACCAATGGAGGCAAACAATTCAAAAAGGCATGGATTTCTACGTGTGAAAAAATTAGAAGATCTTCTGGAAGATGTAAGCTCCTTGCATGAATGCCAGGTGTGCAAGTATAGTTATGGATCTGCTGAAGAACTTCAGCAACATCTCTTGACTCACGCAGTTCAAGAACAAGCGAAAGTATCTTCTGAGGAGGCTTCCCAGCAACTTGCAATATCCACCGAACAGAAAAAGCCTCTGCAGAATGAAGGGAGACTTACAGTGACTGCACGGACTGTCCAGATTCCAGTCATGTCCAATCTCTATCCGGGAACAGCGACCAACGTGAAATTGTTAACTGCCAAGCATAATTCTCCTGTTTCTTCTTCACAGGCTTCCGTAAAAACGGCGTACCATAAGAATCTGCCGGCTTGCAATATTGTTCGTAAATTAACTGTACCACGTTCCAGTAACCAAACGAGTGGTAAGGTTTCCACGGCAGTGGAAAGAGGTTCTTCCAATGCGCAGAGTCTTCAAACGGCGCTCAGAGTTGATTCTAATACTGGAAACCAGCAGGGTAAAACGAATTCGTATATACCTTATAGAATGAATGTCCCCGTAAGGGCGAACATAGCTACTGCTATGAGCAAGAACAAGTACCTGAATCAACAAGCAGGTTACAAAACTTATCCTAAGCCCACCCCACCACCCGTCTCGACTGTATACACGTATTCCCAAGACGAAAATGGAAAGATCGAAGTCGCTGCAAGTCATAGCATCGGTAGTGCTGTAGCGAACAACAATGCGAACTACGACAATGCGAACTACACGAACGGCGCCCACAACTATATCCAGACCTCGCACAGCGTTCAGAACCAAGCCACGACGAATAATTCTCCCACAACGATGTATTATTATTATCCCAATTCTAATACTGCTTACGCTGGGAATGCTCAGGGGCCCGTACATACTCAGCAAATGGTGCAGCAGGTACCCAATCATACACTAGCGAGAAACGTACCACCTTCTTTTTATTGTAAGAATCCTACATCAGGTGGTATGTCGATAGTAATCAATCAAAATGCGCCCACCGTGCAAGGTTTGCCAGCAGTGGACGTGAGACAGCAACAAGAACACCAACAACATATGTATCAGCCAGTTTATAGCAATCCAGTGGTTTCGGTAGACCCTTATGTAGCGCAGTCACAGGTATATTGCGTTATTCAAAATCTGCTAAAACCATGAATGCTTTTTGAGAGATGAATTCCATTGTTACTGTTTAATTCGCAGAAAATTCTTGATTACACCGGAACCAATGAGATTTATCAGGCAACACCGAATGAGTACACAGAGCCGGTCAATGAAAATGTTTCCAGCTGCAATGCGTCGATGCAAACCGTATCAACCAATTTTTGCGCCTACTGTCCACTAGCCATTTCGTTTGTGAGTCAAGACTCATTCGATAGACATATGAGCGTTTACCATAATTTTGTTTGCGAGATTTGCGCTTCGTCGTTCTACCGTATCGAGGACTTGAGGGTCCATAACATGAAACACGTGTTGAACTGAACAAAAGTAGTATATCGCTAGTTCCACCGATTATTGTTAAGAATAACGTTTAGAGGCGCTGCGTTTCCAAACAGTTTTGCCATTACATTAATAATATTGTTACTACGACATTACTAGGAAAGATTTCGTGTAACACACATCCGTATGGAGAAATGTTACAGAATGTTTACGCATTTTATTTTTGACACCTTAAATACCAAGGACATATTGTTAATGATATTTTTTATGAATAGTTTATCGCTAAACTACAAGGACTATGTCGGCTTAGAATGTCCTCAGTTTAATATATGTATTATGCCGAAGTATGGTTTTAGTAACATCAAAATTAAGATATAAGGTTTTCGTTTCGTCGTATCGATTCAAGACGTATGTTCACATTCTTTATCGGTTCTCATTACTTCATATTCTTAATAGAACATTTCATTTCAAAGTAATTGTAAATATGTAGTCTATTTATATTTAGTTTTATACACATTCAAAGTTTTTATACTCAAAAGGTACACGTTGAAAAAAGTTATTTAATCATGTCGTGTTCGTAGTTTTCTTCGCCAAGAATTTTTAATGAATTTCGTATGTAGCATCTATAATTAGATCCATCGTTTTGTCTATATAATTCCATTATATGTATTATAGAAACTTTGACAGGTTACTATCCTTCTTTGATCGAGGAGCATCTGTTTTGTACGATAAATATTTTTTGACTAAAAATATTTATTTTTGGTCGAGAAAGTTTGTAATCCTCCTTCCTTTTTAAACACTTCTATCGCTAGTGTGTAATATGCGCCGGTTGATCGTATCACTGTCGGGGCTGTCAAACTACGTACTACTGTCCAACATTTCGGAATGCATAATTTCCTTTGAAAATAATTCTTAGGATATGAATGAATAGACCCGACAATGTGGTACGATTTACCGAGAGAAGTTTGATGCATCGATTAATGAGCAACATTAAAAAGTGAAAAAAAAAGTTTTATAAAAGAATCTCTGAGAAAGTTGATCGTTTGGAGATTTCGAAGTATGTAGTTCTTGCGTATATGTAGGTACATCTGAAAATATATTTGTAAAATGAAAATATTCTATAGTGTTCTTTGCTGCCGTTCTCACGTAGTCATAAGCAAGTAATTCATATTTTAAGCTGCAATATTTGCGTCGAAGAATACTGATTTATACGATCGTTTAGAGTTTTAGAGGTAAGTGGAAGGATCGAATGCGATTAAAAGTAAAGCAAACACTGTCTACATGCTTGTCTCCTTTATTCGGCACTTTGAGCGTTTTTTTTACTGCTTTTGTTTTTACAGTGATCGCCGTTTTAAGAGGGTCTTCCTGCTCCAGAGGATCGAGACGCGTAAAATCGTGGAACTGAAGGCGAACGTTGGGAACATTGTCAATTTTCTGCGTTCGTGGCGTATAGAAATGTACAAAACAGAATGAGACGTGAATAGTCGGTGAACATGAGAATTTGCACGGACGTCCACGGTCTAACAGCTCGGTTCCCGCTAATCCTACAAGTTTTCTTAATAAGATAGAAATAGGAGCAGAAGGACCCTTCGATCTCCGTACTCGATGCGAAATATAGTAAGTAGTCGGGGCGACTGTAACGAGCAACGGTGTAGACACAGTCTCGATTAATATTGAGCGTCGTTCTTTGCGATTATAGTCGTTGCTCGTGATAATCGCGCGACAGGGACGAAATCTGTTTGACGTTCGATCATCATCGAAAGACTAATTGCTTGTTACACAAAGTTACCCTCTAAACTGAAGGTACAGGGTTGTACATAACTCGCGTAACTCGATCATCGAATCGGAATGTGACATTTTGGAAATAACTCTGAAACGTGTTCGGAATAAGCCAACATTTAGCTATTATCGTGGAAAACAATTCAAGAAAGTAGGCTATGAAAATAGTAATTTGCTAAGAAAATTGAAATCGGTAAGTTTTGCGAGCTTTGTGTGTTACAACATTTTAAAAATTTATTGGTAGCTCTCTCTCTCTCTCTCTCTCATTCTTACGCTCACACACACGCATACTCACACCCATTCACTCTCTTTCTCTGACGCGAATCAGGGAAGTTTGATTACACCCTAAAAGGGTTGCATTCGGGTATTCTTATCTCGTAATGAACGGTCCTTATGTTAAGGCAAGCCTAGATAATCGCCCGCATATCGCGGGGATACGCTTGTTTAATTAATATACAGTTTAATCCTAGGATTTGGCACGTGATTCACGGAAACACAATTTTTCTCAATTGTGTTAGAACTCGAACGAAACCGAACGAAAGTTCTTCTGTACTTGTTCTAATGCAGTACAAGATACATGTTACAAAGCTACACGCTACTGGAATTTAATTATTTAGCGCGGTAAAGGAAACGAAATCGTTAACGTTGAAACTATCGAATCGATCGGATTCTTCCGTTCACGATCGTCGATGGAACGTCCATTCGTTATTACCTAGGTTTGTTCGATCGAAATCAGCTTTCGTCGATGTTTCTTCAACGAAGAATCGGGGAGACCGTTCGATAGTTTCAGAGTTAAAGTTTGCTACGGTCGCGACTCTGTATTGGTCGATCTCAAATAGTTTACGATAAAACCGAGATTCACACACACACACACACAGTGTCTTAATTAGGCTCGGAAAATCGTTTCGGTAGATTTCGGACATAAAGTCAGTTTGCAAATGGAAGTTCGAGGAGCCGATATAACAAGTATATACAAATCTTGAACCGTTACGAACTAGAGCTTTATACATTCGAACGAAAAAGTGAGCAACGAAATTAAGGAAGCGACGCTATTCGGACCACAAACACAGAGCCCGACAATCGTCTAGAAACAATTCTAGCTTATCGATTAAGTATCCCTACGAAGGGTGTTAGTCCTTCACGAGGTTGTCCTCCGTTTAAGTACTAGTAATACTGATATAGGTCTTCGACGTTCATTCCACGCTTACGATCTTCTCGTTAACAATTTCTCTGTAAAAAGAAACCGTGGGAAACATCAACGGAAACGGTACGCGGAAAATTCAGGAGGAATCTTTAGCTGCCTAACTATTTTACAATATACGATTGGACCTCGACTTTTGCAAACAATATCAGAGCTGCTAAAAATAATAGAAAATTGACTTTCAGAGCACATTCTGCCCAACGTAACGATCGAGTGTTCGAAACTTTGGTTTCAAGATGTTTAAAAGTTAGGAGATCGAATGGAACGTACTTCTGGAAAATGTTATTTCTCGTTTCGGAAACCGCCTGTAGATCGTGCAAGAGGAGCTACTAGATACTCTAAGATATTTTATTTCATTTTCTTTTATATTATACTTTGTCACGTGGTATTTGAGCCGACGGAGGTTTTATCTGCGACTATATGGTGTATCTCCCTATCGTTTTACAATCGATTTACCCGGAGACCTCCGTACACGTAACTGCTACAGTAATCCTACAGACTAGACGTATAATCGGTGGAAAAATATCGTATTTTGTTGTCGGAATATCATAAATCTGCACGTAATACATTGGACGTTCTATATCCAGCAGCTTAACCTTTCCCTACGCATACGAAAATTGTTTCGACCAACGGATACCCACGACTCTTTCCCATAGCGCGTTTCCGGTGGCAACAAAGATTCGAAAACCTAGATTCGAGGATTTGTCGATCCTAAGATGCGTCTACAGACATTTGGGAATCATGGAGGATGCGAGTTTAGCAATTCGAGGAATTCAAAGTTGAGACGAGGATGGAGATTTCGAGATTCAAAGATCTATCCGGGTATTAGGGGATGCTGAGGCTACGAGGTATGGAGATTCATGGTATATGGGGATACGAGGTATAGAGTTTCGCTGGATCTCGAACCTCTTATGTCCCCAAAATTTGGACGACTGATCTACAAATTGCAACGGACATCTAGAGCGAAGGAATGCTTCTTCCCGCCGGAAACGCCGACAAGATGACGCCGAGTATGGAAGCTCAGGCTGCTGCTTCTATCTTTCACAGCTACGTGTATCAATTTCGTATCTTTTCTCTCTCTCTTTCTCTCTCTCTCTCTCTCTCTCTCGCTCGCTCGCTCGCTTTCTCTCTCGCGTTCTCTTTGGACATCAGAAGTGGTAGCAGCGTGCACCATTCTTAACGATTTATACGACCTAATCGACTAATCTATCTCGTAGATAATTACCTAGTGCTTAATCGTGTCCCTTAAAAGGTATCATTGGCTTGTACACGACGAAACTGGCCAAAGGTCCTCGATCTATTCCGCGAATCGATCGTTCTATCTACAACGGAGCACGCGCGAACAGACGCCCGCTCCGTAATTTGTACAAAAATGAATCACCGTGTCCGAAACGTGAATGGGTTTATCGGGTTCGCGAATCAGTCTGAACAGGATCTCGACCGGGGACGAGAACTTGTACCGATCCAGGGCCGAGTCCCTTCGGGATCGCCGATCGTCGATCCGGAAAACGAATCCTTTCGCCTCCTGCTATCCATTTCCGTTCCTAGAGAATAAACTTTCTTGACTCGAAGTAGGGAGAGATCCTTCGGTTCGCGACGGACTCGCTCGGCGGATCAGCCGCGGTAGAAAAACGGGATCGACACCATGGGACCCAGGACGATCGATCCATCCTCGAGTCGTTCTGCCGTCGACTCTGCCATGATCGAAGATCGAAGGGACGCGGCATGGTTCTCTTCCAACCGAAGACACGAGCATCGGGAACCGCGACGCGACTCGGAGCACAGATTTTCCGGCGAAAACACGATCGACCGGTCGTCGATGACCGAATCTGGTGATTCGGGCACTCGCCCGATAGATTATAAGAGAGTGCGTTACAATTAAGTGCGAAGGAAGTCGTCCGTTTGCTCGCGAATCGAACGCGTTTACGCTAACGATAAGTTTACTTTACATTTACACGGTGCCTCTATTTACCGGTGACCGCAGCTGCTCGACGACGAGATTCGGCTGGAATACGAAGAAACGTGGTACTCGTAGGAAGCACGCGCTATTTCTGGTCAAGGTACTGCAGTGGAAATTTCGGACGAGTACGAAATGTCGGATGTTTCTCCGAGAATCGTCTACCGGTGGACACGCGTCGCTCGGCCGTTTCGAGGCGGCGTCTTAAAATCTTCGATAGAAAACCAGGATAACTTTCGAAAGTCGCGTAAAACGGGCAGTGGTAGAGTTGTACGATAGTTGAGGGAGGGGGTAGAAAAGGGTCGGACTCGCGCGACTGATCAGACGGGATTCGATTGTCGATTGTACGATCTTGGTTCTTCGTGGTCCTTGCTCGCGCACCTTGTCGGAACAACCACAGTGTGACATGGAAACACGCGTGCACGCGGTTGACAAAAGGTCCTCGTCGGCGAAGTTCGAAGTCCCGAGACGTTTGGCTGCCGACGTTCGCGGGTGTTTCGTACAACGGAGAGCGATCGAGTAATCGGAGACAAGCTGTTCGAGAANTTTCCCATAGCGCGTTTCCGGTGGCAACAAAGATTCGAAAACCTAGATTCGAGGATTTGTCGATCCTAAGATGCGTCTACAGACATTTGGGAATCATGGAGGATGCGAGTTTAGCAATTCGAGGAATTCAAAGTTGAGACGAGGATGGAGATTTCGAGATTCAAAGATCTATCCGGGTATTAGGGGATGCTGAGGCTACGAGGTATGGAGATTCATGGTATATGGGGATACGAGGTATAGAGTTTCGCTGGATCTCGAACCTCTTATGTCCCCAAAATTTGGACGACTGATCTACAAATTGCAACGGACATCTAGAGCGAAGGAATGCTTCTTCCCGCCGGAAACGCCGACAAGATGACGCCGAGTATGGAAGCTCAGGCTGCTGCTTCTATCTTTCACAGCTACGTGTATCAATTTCGTATCTTTTCTCTCTCTCTTTCTCTCTCTCTCTCTCTCTCTCTCGCTCGCTCGCTCGCTTTCTCTCTCGCGTTCTCTTTGGACATCAGAAGTGGTAGCAGCGTGCACCATTCTTAACGATTTATACGACCTAATCGACTAATCTATCTCGTAGATAATTACCTAGTGCTTAATCGTGTCCCTTAAAAGGTATCATTGGCTTGTACACGACGAAACTGGCCAAAGGTCCTCGATCTATTCCGCGAATCGATCGTTCTATCTACAACGGAGCACGCGCGAACAGACGCCCGCTCCGTAATTTGTACAAAAATGAATCACCGTGTCCGAAACGTGAATGGGTTTATCGGGTTCGCGAATCAGTCTGAACAGGATCTCGACCGGGGACGAGAACTTGTACCGATCCAGGGCCGAGTCCCTTCGGGATCGCCGATCGTCGATCCGGAAAACGAATCCTTTCGCCTCCTGCTATCCATTTCCGTTCCTAGAGAATAAACTTTCTTGACTCGAAGTAGGGAGAGATCCTTCGGTTCGCGACGGACTCGCTCGGCGGATCAGCCGCGGTAGAAAAACGGGATCGACACCATGGGACCCAGGACGATCGATCCATCCTCGAGTCGTTCTGCCGTCGACTCTGCCATGATCGAAGATCGAAGGGACGCGGCATGGTTCTCTTCCAACCGAAGACACGAGCATCGGGAACCGCGACGCGACTCGGAGCACAGATTTTCCGGCGAAAACACGATCGACCGGTCGTCGATGACCGAATCTGGTGATTCGGGCACTCGCCCGATAGATTATAAGAGAGTGCGTTACAATTAAGTGCGAAGGAAGTCGTCCGTTTGCTCGCGAATCGAACGCGTTTACGCTAACGATAAGTTTACTTTACATTTACACGGTGCCTCTATTTACCGGTGACCGCAGCTGCTCGACGACGAGATTCGGCTGGAATACGAAGAAACGTGGTACTCGTAGGAAGCACGCGCTATTTCTGGTCAAGGTACTGCAGTGGAAATTTCGGACGAGTACGAAATGTCGGATGTTTCTCCGAGAATCGTCTACCGGTGGACACGCGTCGCTCGGCCGTTTCGAGGCGGCGTCTTAAAATCTTCGATAGAAAACCAGGATAACTTTCGAAAGTCGCGTAAAACGGGCAGTGGTAGAGTTGTACGATAGTTGAGGGAGGGGGTAGAAAAGGGTCGGACTCGCGCGACTGATCAGACGGGATTCGATTGTCGATTGTACGATCTTGGTTCTTCGTGGTCCTTGCTCGCGCACCTTGTCGGAACAACCACAGTGTGACATGGAAACACGCGTGCACGCGGTTGACAAAAGGTCCTCGTCGGCGAAGTTCGAAGTCCCGAGACGTTTGGCTGCCGACGTTCGCGGGTGTTTCGTACAACGGAGAGCGATCGAGTAATCGGAGACAAGCTGTTCGAGAAGACGTCGAAGATGTTCGTCGAATCGGCAGCCTTCGCGGGAAATGCAGCGAACGAAAGGTCCGGCCGAACCTTTGCGCGTACAAGATCGATCAGGGTGAAACGAGGTCACTGTGGTTGTCCCGGTTGCCATGCTAGGCAGCCTCTTCAAAACCTGCTGACCGCTTCGTCGTCGGTGACGAAGTAGTTCGAGTTCTTGACGGCCGAGCTGTACATGCTGTAGGTGGGACTACAAACGACCAATCCGGTGGTGCAGCCGCTCAGCTCCTTCTCGGTGGTGACGGATCCGTGTCGGGCGATCGACGACCTTCTGTCCTTCTTGGCCAAGGTCATCCGACAGTCCTCCGGCCGCAAGGGCATCGAAGGATACGTCGGCTGCCTGGCCAAGGTGGTTAGCGCGCGGTCGCCGGTGTCGTTGAAGCTGCGCAAACGTTTGAGACCATGATCGGAGAGAGTGTTCGAAGACCTTGGAATGCGGAGGTAATTTGCAAAACGCGCTATCGTTCTCCGTTGACTCGACGAACTCGAAAATTTCGTCCTCGAATCGCAAAATACTATGTCGTAGGAACGATGTTGCTCTGTCTCGTTAAGTGCTTCGGCTTCGGAGCATTCAAAGAGGCAGCACGGGCTACGGAGAACGCGTAATAACGCGCGTCCAGCATCATCATCTTGCAAAGCTCTAGACTAATAACTAATCGATCAAGCGAAGCTCCTAAGTTTGCCAGGCGACTTCTACGAAAGAATTTTAAACAACGCAGCATATTATTTTGCGAACAGCGGTCGATCTAATTTGCCATGTTCAAGCAAGCTTCTATCGCTACCGTGGGCCCTAGTTTCGCCGCGGCACGGACTCGTACACCGGCGATGTAGTAACATTACCGAGTTGAAAGCAATTCGTCGATATTCCAAGTGGCTCTCGAGTCCCTGCCGCGGTAAAACGCGCTACAAGAAGAAAACGAGCCGTCTATTATAGATACCTGTGATGCCTGACGATGCCCCTCTTGATCCTGCAATGCTCGTTACCGCCTTGGCCCTCCGGAGCCGTTCCATGGGTTTTGCAGGCCTCCACTCCCATGGGAACGGGAGACAGAGAGCCTGGCCCGTACGAGCCGCTGCTTTGTCTTCTGTCCAAAATGTGAACGAGCTCCACCGAGGGCGTCGGCGAGAACGTGCCCTACGAATCCATCGAACCAACGTTCCAAAAACGACCGACCATGAACCGATCCGTTTCTCGCGATCGCCGACGACGACGAAACAAAATAATACGAACGATAAAAAAAAACAGCGGGAACAGCTGCGAGAAGGCACCTCCTAATCTCTAAGGACGGGATCACTGGGATGTCTCCATCGGTCGATCAACGATAAAAACAATAAAATGAAAATCAAACTTGTTGCAAGCGGTTTAATAAAATGATTCGAAACAACGTAACAAGGTGGAAACAAACTTAAAGTAAACGCAACGAAAACAGGACAATCGGGGGCCGGCTACGAAGACGCGACGTCCTGCACGCTCACCTGCAACGACGGTCTCCGAAGGGTGCCACCCTCCATGCCGACCAGCTTCACCCCCTTCACGTTCTTCTTGATCCCTATGGTGGTCAGCATGCTGTCGGGAGCGTTCTGGAACTCGGCGTTGCTCCTCTCGACGATGCTGATCCTCTCGTTCTCCCTGATCTTCTCGTTGCCCATAGCAGTGTCGGCCACCCTGGCGTAAGGTGGCCCGGGGGCGACGGGCGCGGCCATCGTACAGTTCATGGGGATCGCGGCCATGGTGACGGTGTTTCCCGTCGAGATCACCGGCAGCATCTGGCCGATCGAGCCTCGCAGGTTTCTCACGCCTAAAATCTGAGCTCTGGAGAGGTCGGTGGCCTGCATCGGCGCGTAGTGGGTCGGCGTGGGGATCGGCCTGGGGTGTATCGAGTTCCTCAGGGTGTGCAGATGCTGGAGGCTCTGGTTCGCCTTCTGGACCACGTTGTTCACCTTCGGGGTCCCTTTGTCGTAGCTGTCTCCGCCCAGGGTGCTGTTGTCGCGGTCCGTCACGTCCTCCACGGAGTTTGTGGTCGTCCTGTCGTCGTCGTAGCTTCCGGTCCCGATCCCGTCGCAGGAGTCCATCCCCGACGTCGATTTCTGGCCACCAGAACACGGAGAGTTAGCGCAAGCCTGTCTCGCTCGGCGATCGGTGGAACGAAGCCAACCGGAAGCTAGATTTTTCCAGCAAAGACTCGCCGGATCTCGACGACCCTCCGCCTCCGCGGAGGGAATCGCGGGAATTATTCATGCGAATCGGTCGCGGAAAACATTTCAAACACTTCGAATCGGAGCGTCGATAGCCGAGCAACATATTCGAGAGGCTCCCGTTGAATATGCATCGCGGGCACGTTCCACTCACGGGCCGGGGATGTTTTGTTTGAAAAGCGACTCACATTAACGGAAGAAGTGTCCATTAAAGCAGCGCCGGAGCTGCTCTGCACCACCCCCGACTGGTCCTTCGATTTTCCGGGCGAGTAAACGCTGAGCACGTCGCAGCAACGCGGGAAATAGCCCTTCCCGAGGAGATTTCTGGTGAAGAAGCTCGTGACGAGCAGAGTGAAGAGGGCTGCCAACATGGCGCCGGTGCGGAACGGAAACTTCTGTGTCTGCGTTTCCGTGTCGTAGAACGGGTACTCGATCAGCGCCGGCACTCCTAGGCCCTTCTCGCCACCTAAATATGCAAGCGCCAACGTAAACGATCGTGTGCGTCGAGTGCTAAACGATTACACAACGTGTTCAAACTATTATCAGCCACCGCCGAGCGCACCCTCGTGGAACACTGGCCGGTCTCGTATCAGAATGAAAGGGCGCTTGCTCGATGGCTGTACAGTTCCTTGGCATCGCCTAGCTTCGAAACGCGGTCTTAGAATCATCTTGGTCCCGAATTTCTCGACGTTGGTGCACGAGGGTCGACGAACGCGCGCGCTCGCGATTTTGTAATCTTGTTCGCGAAGATCGTTCGAAGGCGGGACAAACGGCGACTCGATGATCGAACACTATACGATGTTCGAGACTATGAAACGAACGGAACGAGCTTACCGCAAAGACGCAAGACAACGGCGACGAAGTAGGCCGCCAGGCATCCGTAAGTGTCGACCAAGGAGGGCCAATGGACGACAGCCAGCAATTGCGGGAACAGTATCACGTAGACGAGATCGGAGCACAAGTACCTTGAAAGAAACGTCCTCGGGTTAATTACGCCGGCCCCCGGGTCCGTTTCGAATCGTGGCCGAGCAACGAACCGGGACGGTCGAAAGGCTCTACTCACGACAGATAATAAACGCTGTCCACCGTGAGGGCGATCGCGGTCGACAGTACCGTGATTACGACCATCGCGATCCTCAGTATCCAGTTCAGCTCCCTTTCGGATGCCTGCAAGCAAAACGGTTCGCTTCGGTATCTTACCCCGTCTCGCCGCGTCTCGTTTCTTTTCACAGTGTCCGACGATTTAATTGGATCGCGGCTTCGAAGCGAATCGCGGGAACAACGAGCACGGAAACATCGAACTTTTTCCGCAGCGTTGCGATACGTTCGTACGAGATTGGATCGGATTTGAATTTTAGGGGATGGTGCTGGCCAAGAATGCGGACGCTGCGAGAAACAGCGACGGCAGACTTTCGGCGAACGCGACAGCCTTTTCTTTTTGGTACTCACCTTCGGTCTGAGAGTCAGCCTGTAAACGTTTCTGGCGAACATCGAGCTGCTAGCCAATATGCCGGAATCTGCCGACGACATCACCGCTGCCGAGATCGCTCCCAACCCTGGTGACCGATTACCAAGTATAAATGCGAGGAAACAAAGCGATCTCGAGTGCTCGTAAATCTCGTTGCATTCGCTTCTTTGCGGCATAACGAATCGTTCTACCTCTATCGATCGCTGCTCCGCGTCTACTCTTTCGAGATCTTCCGGTCTGATTGAAACGTGTTCTACGAGTCGGAACACCGAGAGAGCTAATTACGTTCTCTTGGACTCGCGACTTCGCTTGAACCGACTCGACCAAATTTTTATTCGCTTCTCTATAGACGCTTGGCGCGTTCGATATCGAATTCGAACACAGTTCGTCGAATAAATATTTATATCACGAATAGTCGGATTCTCTCGGATCCGTTTAAATTCATTCGACGACGAATCTATCCATCGATCGGTATTCATTCTTTTACAGTGACGGGCTCGTTCGATTCAATCGTAGAATCTCTTCGACCCCGGTCGAATTTCTTTCGATTCGTTCAAACATAAATCATCGTCGCATCGGGAAACGTCTTTCTCCCTTTTTCCCGGTAAAGTTTACAAATCGTTCCCGAGCTAGCAGACGCGATCGAGATAAACGAGGCACGAGAAGAACTTCTTCACTCACCGACGAAGGAGACCCACTGCGGTGTCAGATAGCGCAGCACCATGGGCATCGCAGCGTTCGGGTCGTGTGCCGCCCAACTTTTATTGAATCCGTCGACCAACGACCAGTCCGTGGCACGTGCCACCACGCCGATCAACGCCGACGGAAACGCGAGAATCATGCAGCCGGACATCGACGCTATCGACAGCGTCATCGCCATCGTGGTGCTCTTCATGCTCAAGATTCGCTGGAAGTAGCCCTGGAAGAAAGTTCGATCGCAAGGTACGTAGAAAAAACTATAAATTCTCCGGTAGCCAGAGGATAATCGTGGACGAACGAAAACAAACGCGACACGGATCGCAGATTCTTAACGACGCGGAAGAGGGTGGTTTCGCGTCTCTCATTGAACATATCTGGAAGCTGTTAGCTCGATTCGCACCTGCCACGGTATCCCGCCGAATATCAGCAACAGCATTCCGTCCACCCACTCCCCCAAGTCTTCGTTCCTAATTTCGCCGAGCCATTCGCGGGTCGCCAGGTTCTTCTCGAAGGACACGGCGGGGTGGAGAACGGAGAAGGGCGCAGCTATTCCCAAGCCGACCACGATGCAGGCCAATTGCAAGGCGTCCGTGTACGCGACCGAGTAGAGCCCGCCGAACATGGTGTACCTTCGCCAACCAACACAGGTATGTATCGCTTGCCATTGGTTCAAAAAGTTCTCGATCGGTGCTCGAAAACGCTCCGAAAACGCTCCGAAAACGCTCGAAAACGACACGGTACTCACGTCACCGCGAAAACAGCGGACACGCAGACGCTGATGTTAGGATCAACCCCGGCGACCACTGCCAACGAAGTGCCGAGGGCTCTGAGGACCGCGGCGCACCAGAACAGATCGCCGCAAAGCGCTGGCAAAAACAGCAGACCTCCGACTCCGGCGCCGTATCTCTCTTGAAAAGGATCCAGCATCGTCACGTGCTCGGCCTTCCTCATCGGTCGCACGAACAGCACCGCGCCTGCGATCCAAGGTCACTCTCAGAAAGATCCGCGCACGGTTAGGCGAGCCTCCGAATCTCTCTCCTTTTGCTAAAAGCTCGTCGAAAATCAAAAATTAAGAACCAAAGGGGAAGTCCGCGATACTTCCTCGCGATGTTATCTTCGATTCAAACGACGTCTCGACGATTGAAAGAGAATCGTTGATTTATCTCTTGAAATGATTCTCCGTGCGCGTTGTTTTACAGCGAGCGTAGACCGTAAAAAGCGCGTCGCCGCGACGAAAGATCGTTTTCCCATGGAAAATGCCAATGTCTCTTCGTTACATCGTCCACTTTGCGAGATTGCGGCGCGGAGGAGGAGCGGACCGCGGACGGATCAACGGCGTTTCGATCGTTCGATCGCGCTTTTAATTCGATTTTCGAGTGGAACGCAAACTCTCTGCTGCTAATGCGCGGAACTTTCATTAATTGGAGTTCGATCGGCCTCTCGTGTCGTCCCGCGACGACATCCATCCTCCTCGCTTTTGGCAGAGGCTGACAGTTGCTGGCAAAAGGGCTCGATGCCAATTACTCGTCCCGCTCCCGCTCTCTCTCTCTCTTTCTCTCCCGCCCCCGCACCCCGAGTGCGGTAATCGAATGATTCATGGAACTTTCTGTTTGCCCTGCGGACAAGCGGACGCCGCGGTTCGGCCGATTATTTGAATAATTTCGAATTATTTGCCGACGGGACGGCTCCGGGAGAGCCGAAATGCCGACTCGAGGCGGTCTACGAAGTCTCGATCGGCTCGAAATGCACGAAATTGTCCGTAGATTTCCGAAAGAAGGCGCGATTTCCGCCGCGATTCGAACGACGAACGCGTTAACGACCCAAAATGGTGTCCGTGGGCGGCCCGAGATCGATTCCCGTTAGCTCGAATAGAGAAAGGCGAGAATAAGGGAAGCCGGTCTTTCGCCTTTTCATAAAATCGTTGACACGATGCTTCTATCCGTCTCGAATCCCATTATTCGCTACCCTCCGTTCCGCAGACGCTACGTCAGCTGTTTCTAGACACGTCGTCCGCGAGCGACGACCACGGATTCGAATCGATCGGTCTTCGATCAGCCTTCGCGGAGACGTCGCCGATAAAAGCTCTAGGACAAACGGAAAGCTGCGTCGTGCACGCTGTCCGCCAAGGATAAATTTACCTAACGTCGGATGTCCTCGGCCTTGGCAGTTTCCAGCGAGACCGCGTTTCTACATCGATCTAATTGTACCCTTCCACCCCCGTCGCGCGTCGCCTCCTCCGCCGCCATGCTCATCCATGGTGCGTGTCGGTTAAAGGGTTAAGGTTGCAATCGACGTTGATACGCGTTATCGGAAACCTTGGGCGCGAAGGACGCACCCCGAGCTGCGCGCCATTTCGCATATTCGATATTAGCGATCCGGAATCGCTGGTCCGCTCGCCCGTCGAAGCGAGATACGGCAGCTGCGTTCATTTTCTCTCCGAACAATTCGACCGACGCGGCGATGATCGAAAACGATAATCAAAAATAATACGGTAATGTTTCCCTAATTGACGCCCAAATTGTGCAGAAAAATGGACGATTTGCGAAGAGGAGATACGATTATTCGAGCCTCGCTTTTATAATAGTTGACAATCGGTAACTATAAAAACTAATACTGCAAGGCTCGAACGATCGTGTCCCCTCTTCCCAAATTGTCCATTTTCGTGTACAATCCGAGCGTCGATTAGGGAGGCTTCACCGTATTCGCAGGCTGCGGACGTTAAACGTGCCACGTGCTGGAACAATAGGAGAGAGGCGTATTCATTTTTAGCAGGTGGCGTTATATATTTTGAAAGGTCATACCGAACAGCAGGCTGAGGCTGTAGCCGAAGGGCACTTGACACCAGGCCAGTCCTCTGGTAAACATGGCTTCCGCGGTCCCGTTCACGTAGGCGCCGCCGACCCACGTGGCTTCCCATGGAAAGCAGAAAACGGGTATTCGCAATTAGTCCGTCGGTCGAGCGTGTGATAATCGCTCTTTCGCGGGAAAATGTTACACCGACCCGGGTGATCCGGTGATCCGTGAAAGCCTTCGCGAATTACCGGACGTTGGATCTTTTGTGTCGGAATCGCTAAATGTTATATCGTCTTCAACCGGTTCGAAGAGGAACGCGAGTTGTCTCGCCGAGAACGATTCGAGTATTCGCTTCTTCGAAAGTCGGAGAGCGAAGCCGAGAAAGCGGTAAGAGAAGGAAACGGTGTCGAAAGAAACGTCGGTCGCGTTTATTAAATTCCGCTCGAAACGATCGTCGCGGCGAGATCGCGACAAAGCGAGGGGTTGAACGCGAAAGAGGAAAGCAACCCCCGCATCGCATCGCATCGCATCGCATCGCATCGCATCGCATCGCCTTGATCCCGTGAATCCGCCGACGAGGATGCGAAAGAGGCGGTGCAAAGGCACGAGCGGATATTTCTCAAGATCGCGGTGACCGAGCGTGGCTCGGCAATCGCGTAGCGAAAACTTGTTCGAAACGCGTTCCTCCCATCGCATCGGTCCTCCCATTCATACGAGGCCATCGAGGCGGCTCGGCGCGGCGTCGGAAGAGAAGATAATTATGGCCGCGGCGTTTTTTCCCTCCCCGGCGGGGCGTTCATTAAGGTAATGGACGGACGGAAAAATGATTTTCCACCGCAGAAATAGAGCGCGGATGAATCGCAAGTTGAATCGAGTCGAGCGGAACGCGGTGCTTGTAAGCGGGACGGGTAAACGGAACGGAAGAACGAGAGGGGAGGGGGTGGAAAAAATTCGAAAAAGGAAAAACGTCGGAGAGAAAGGCGAGAGAGAAACAGAGTGAGAGGGAGAGAGAGAGAGAGAGGGAGCGAGAGAGAAAGAAACAAGCGAGAAAGCAGGAATAAATGCTCGGAGCGAAGAACGGTCGAGCGAGAAATGCAATTGACGGGGCGACAAAGCGGGATTTCCCCGGTGTCCCACTGCCTGTCCCCGATAAAACTCGCGTGTGCTCTGTGCACGTTCGAGCCGAGCGCGGTTCGGAGCGGATGGGAGAATAGGAACGCGCCGGAAAAACTGATTCCCGCGGATTTTCTTCGTTAGCCTGGAACTCTTTCCCAACGACCCCCGCGTCGCCGGGTCCTCTAACTTAATCGTTCGACTCACGGTTCGTTTCGGCTCGGTTTTCTCCGATGGACGAGCGATCGCGTTCGTCGATTCTATTTACCCTCGATTCTTTTCTCTCCGCGCCCTCTCGATTCCTGCTCGCGTTTCTTTCGCCACCGATCCTTTCTATTCGCTCGCGATTATTCCTCCCGGATTTGTTTCTCGTAGACATTCCAAACGAACTAAATTCTCGATGCGCGCGGCGTTAGCGTTAGCGGCGAACGCGGTTAAATACGAGCAACGAACGAATAAAGAAGCCGGCAAATCGATTTCTGTAGGAGCGTTGCGATAACGTCGGCCGGCTCTAATGGACCGCAGTAATTCAAGCTTTTCGGCTCGGGTCTCGGTCTAATGCCAGCGGTCTGACGAGGCCAGTTAGGATTATCAGGAGCTCGTTCTTTCTCGAGCTTCTCGAGTTTCCTAATCCACGTAAGGAGAAACCCGCCCAATCTCGAATCGTCCAATTTAGAGGATTATCGGAGCATAATTTGGAAATTTCCCCCTCGGGATACTTGGCCACGGCCGACGAGCAACAACTAGACCCGAGTTTGCCCGACAAGGATTACCAGGCTAGAATTCTTGAATTCTGTTCCATCGCCGGGCAACGCGAGCAGCCTCGGTCTCTTTAATGAGATTTTTAATTCATTTCTGATGGGGTCTGCTAAGTAGTTTACTCTTCCGTTCCTTTCAATATCCTCCGCCCGGAACCCTCCGCTCTCCTCGATACTCTTCGCTTCGGTCTTTTTATTACTTTAATAATAACCTCGCCGAGCTTTTCAATATTTTCTGCCGCGGTCTCTTTGCTTTGCTGTTAATCGCGATTGTTCGATCCAATCTCCGACGTCCAGCTATAACATCTCGTTTACTCGAATCGATCTTGAGATATCGTTTCGTTATCCCGAATACGTCGACGGAGAGGGTTCGACAACGATTTCGAACGCAAGATGCACGATGCCGGCCGAGTATTCTTCGAATACTTTTGATATTCGTTCGAGACGAACGAGTTTGCGAATACAAATTGTCGCAGCACAGATATTCCCCGGGAACGAGTAGGGAACTAATTCCAAGAACGACGCCCGTCTCTCCCCTGAAATCCAGTTTCCGTCCGATTATTCTTCGCGCGAGACCGCGAAACTTTTGTATTCGCCGTTCCGTTCCGTCCCCTCGGCTCGGCTCGGCTCGCTCCACGCATTTAAATACCCGCGTCAGGGTGGTTTCACCCCCTTAACACGAATATGGGTCGCTAAAAAAAAAAAAAATAACAACGCGACGAGCATTTTCGCGTGGAACTCCGTGGAAAGTTTCATCAAACGGGGCTCGCCTGCACGCTCGGCCGACGTTCTTTGTGCGTCCAGAATGACCGGCTTCTCGAATGGCGGAACAATGGCCGGCCGCGAGTGCGTCACAATCGAAAAAAGAGGAGAAAAAAAAATAGCAACGGCGTAGAGAAGGAAGAAAAAGGCTTTACGGGGTGGTACGAAAGATCGAAGCGCGATCGGCAGAAACAGATTTTGTTCGCGTACCCCGGTTCTGTCCGGCGTTGTTGGCCTGCTGGAGCGAAGAAAAAGATCAAAGGGATGGCGCGAGAGGGGCGGGGAACGGGGTTGCTCTTTGACTCACCAATTAGGGTGAAGATACCAAGAAGCGGGCCGAGGCCGCGATTCGCCAGCATCATGGCATCCTGGACTTCTCGTGCCTTTTTCCTCTTGACGGCGGCCGCCCAAATGCCGACACCCAGCACGGCCAGATAAAACACGATCACGCCGACCACCCCTATCACGTACACCCCCATCGCTGCGGCTTCACTTTTGTCCTCGTCTGGGATAACCCTGTGATCCCCTGTAACTGTAATCACCACCACTAGTTACGCCGAGCATATTTTCTTTATCCTTCCTCTCTTTCTCTCTCTCTCTCTCTCTCTCCCTCTCTCTCTCTCTCTCTCTCATCTTTGTCTCTCTCTTTTCACACCGACTCGCGCAACGCCGTTTTCTAATTATAACACGCCGCGCTTCGAGCGGCTACGGGGGTTGTCGCGTCGAACCGTAAGCATCTCCGCTTCCGTTCCATTGTTTCGCAGGTAGAACAGGGAGGCATCGTGGAAACGTATGGTCCGCTCGTACACGCCTGGAACCTCGATTTATTTATTATATTCGCGATAGCGCCTCGATGGCGGACGCGATCGACCCTTCGCGCTCGGGGCTGTTGCAACTCCGAGTCGTTTCTCCCGCGATCAACGGTCTCTGTGGAATTTCACGCGATTAGAAATTTTAAACGGAAGAATTAATGACCGGTACAGCTGGCTCTGCCATTTTGTAAAACTTCCAAGCAATTTTCCGTAAATAACGGCGAAAGTTTCGAGCGTCGGCAGAACCGTGAGCTTATCAATTGATTTTATAGCAACCGGGGTCTCGAATCGTAATTTTATCGCAGTCACGCCCACGTGCCTTTTATCTTTAGACCGGACAGTTCAGATAGAATTAATAAAAATAAAATTGTTCCGTTACTATTAGCCGCGACATAAATAAAACGAACGAATGAAGCTGGAAGTAAGATTATTTTAAAATTATCGCCGCGGAGGGTCGGTGGACGTCGCCTGGGATAAAATAGGATCAATGAATCGAGTACGATCCTAACTGACGCTCGGATTGTGCAGAAAAATGGACAATTTGGGAAGAGGAGATACGATTAATCACGATTAAACACGAATAATCGTGTCTCCTCCTCCCAAATTGTCCATTTTTGTGGACAATCCGAGCGTCAATTAGAGAGACATTACTGTATCGAGTATCGACCTTAGTCAATACTTGTTTCGTTGCGTGAAAACTGTCCTGTTCGCGCTGTTATCAACCCTCTGAGGGCCGTCGCGCGTCGACGCGACAGCTTGCGAAAAATTGAAAGAAAAATCGGCTTGCCACGATCGACCGGTTGGCAGCGAAGAGAATCCGAATCGCTGAACGGACGAATTCTCGAATCGCTGGAAAGTGTGACCTGCAGAGTTACTTTATCATTTCCTCGGCAAGCCGATTCTCTCTCATTGTCGCCGCGGCGGAGAGCGGAGGCGATAGGATTACGTTTCCGCGTAGCTGCGAGGGATTCCCCCCGGGGGCGATTGTAATTTCCTTGGGAAGTTTAAAGGCATTGTCGATGCTCGCGCCAAAGGAGAATCGTTAATTAACAGGGTGACAACGCGACGAGGACGGGCTGGTAATTGCGCGCGTGTCTCGCGGACGAGGAGAACCGTGACGGAACCCCCGTGGCCCGAGGAACACGGCGGAATGGAAGAGGACGAAAGCGAGAGATACAGAGGGACATTGGGGGAGGAGGATGGAGGTGGTTCGAGTTGCTGGAATCCGCTCGACACTAATTTTCCGGCGGGCGTAATCAGTATCGACAGAACAATCGTGATACCGCGGTTGTGTTCTTCCATCGAGGACCTCTCGTGCCGCGCGAGCGACGTTCTCGATGACTCGGCGGACACGTGAATCAACTGCGTCGACGGATCGGTACCTGGGATAATGACTGCGGACGAATCACCGGCGAGAACTGCGCCTGTTCCCTGAACGAGAACTACCCTCTGGCGAAAGGTAACCGACGCGACGCTTCGCCCTCTCAATTTTCTATCGCATAATTTTCAGTAGAGAAAATCCGAACGGTACCGCCGAATCGTTTCTCGTTCGACCCTTCGGCCCTAACGAACAATTTGTCCTTTAATAGAATCCTTGTACCGCGCGAAACGCATGCGGTCGAAATGCCGTTGAAAGAATTTGCTTTCAATTGGCCCGCGACAATCGCTCCGGGCGTGAAAGTATTGATCGCGCGGTGTCCAATAAAATTCGCTGGAGAGTTTCGGGTATCGTTTTCACCGGAGCAGGAGGAGGAGGAGAAGATTGGAGGTTGGAGGCGAGTGTTGTCCCGGCACGCTGCCACCGGGAAAAGAGTCAGCGACACTGTACCTAGAGGGAAAGAGAGAGAGAGAGAGAGAGAGAGAGAGAGAGAGAGAGAGAGAGAGAGAGAGAGAGAGAGAGAGAGAGAGAGAGAGAGAGAGAGAGAGAGAGAGAGAGAGAGAGAGAGAGAGAGAGAGAGAGAGAGAGAGAGAGAGAGAGAGAGAGAGAGAGAGAGAGAGAGAGAGAGAGAGAGAGAGAGAGAGAGAGAGAGAGAGAGAGAGAGAGAGAGAGAGAGAGAGAGAGAGAGAGAGAGAGAGCGAGAGAGCAAGGGGGCAAAAGTTAAAGCTCGGTAAACTCGTCGAGCAAAAGAGAGCTGAAGCAACCGACAGAGAGAGTGAGAGAGAGAGAGAGAGAGAGAAGCCGAGAGGGAAAGAGCAAGAGAGAGAGAGAGAGAGAGAGCACACGGTGAAGGAGCTAATCGACCGCGGCGGCAATTGCAGCGCGGATTAAAATTCAAGTGTGGCCCAGATATCGGACACGTTGGGTCGTCGGGTCGTCGGGTCGTGACCTCTCCGGTTCTGGTTTTCTGGTTCCGGATAGGCTGCTATACTCACGTAAAATTCAGCCGATCCTCCGCACCGCTCCTACCCCTCGGCATTATTAATTCTGTATCGGGGCCGCTCGCTTTTTCCTTTTTGCTCGTCGGCTGGGTCTGAAAAAAAAGCCGTACGCGAGAAATTAGAAAGGCTCGGGTTGTTCCCATTCGACGGGAAACTACGCCGACTATCGTCTCGATTTAATCGACCCGCCAAACTTTTCCTTTTGTTCGCTTCCCCGGATTTTCCACGTTTTCCCGCGTTTTTTCGCGTTTTTTTCGCGTTTTTTTCGCGTTTTTTCAGAGGTGTCCGTTCGATCTCCACGCAGAGCCGATTGTCCGGCTGAAATTGCCGGCTGTTTCGATGGATCGCGGAGCACGACGATTCCGAGAGCCTCCGAGGAGGCTGTCGACCATGATGGATTGGTCGGGAGCCATCCTGGAAGTCTCGTTTTAATGTAGGTTTTAATGAAAGTTTGCACGGCAAGCTCGAGAAGCTCTTAATGTCGTATCAAAGATTTAGAACGCAAAGTTATGGGATCCTTGGACGGTCGAAACGAGCGTAGCTTCCGTCTTCCTATTCTTTTTACGTCGATCCAACAACTATTATATCTTTCGAACAGTTTTATCACCGACCCGCGGTTATTTAATCGCTTTTAATACTCGAGGCGGAGGTTATTTGCGACCGAAACGTGTTCGGTAATAAAAATCAATAGCGCTTTTGCTCTATTTTCATCGGGAGGAATCTTGATAGCCGGCTAAACGGATCGTTCCTCGATCGGATTCGGTATAAAATATCGTCTGCGGTGCATCGAATAATGTTCTTTTTTCTGTTTCTTTCAAAGCTGTTCAGAAACAATTGCGAACAGAGGAATGTTCTAGGAACCGAAATAAATTCGATGTACAGGCGTGCATAAAAATCCGAAGCCAGCAACTGGATCTGTAAAATTTAAACGAAAGATCGTCGAGTTCGGAAATAGCCTTGGGGAACATTTATCCAGCGTTTCAACCGCGTAACTCGGCACGGGGCGATTTCCTAGACGGTTTCGTAGAAACAGCAACCGTGGAGCTCGAAATCCATTTACGACAGTTTCGCCGATGATTTCAAAGCGAACTCGTTAACATTTCGCATCGGGAAACACGTGTTTAGGGAGCCGAGGCGACGGTAGAGAGCTCGGTTTTCGGTAACTTCGAGGCAAAGTGCGCGCTTTCTGCAATCAGAGACGTTTGAAATTCGTGATTTCGCGACGACGGGACGCGTCGCCTAACTCGCGGGGAAACGTCGCCGAGCGCCTTTTTCGCGTGGGAAATGTTGCGGGGTAATCGGCGGTGTCGGATCCGGAAGAAAAAACCTTATTTATCGAAAAGCTCGGAGAACGGTGATCCCTTTCGCGTGTAAATTCGGAAAACGAGCGCGTCGAGCGAACGGTACAGCGTCGAAATAAACGCGAGAGCGAGGCCGACGCACGCCATTTTGAATAACGTTGAATAGAAATTGTGGGCCGAAAACCAGGCGAACCCGATGCGAACATGGATTTCGTAAAAACAACAAGCCCACAGCCATTCGATGAAAGAACTCTGCGCGAAGTTGCATTTTCCTAAACGAGTCGGAAGGGATCGAGATCTCTCTCGCGATTGTTCTGGTATATATTAATGGTAGATAAAAAAGCAAATCGAATCGCGTCGCGTTTGATCGAATCCCGTGTGTTTCATAATGTTCAAAGAGCATTTCTATGCCGTCATAAATGCATAACGTTTCGGTCGGCGCGGCGTAATAATGGCGAATCGATTGCCGGCGTATTATTCGGTCGTCGCTGTTAAAACGACTGTAAACGAAATGCTAGAGGATTATGTATGCAGCACGCGGCAGCGCTAGGCGCAAAGGTTAAAACGAATCCCATTCGAATCTGCCAGCCATCAAGATTTCCTTTTTCCACCGGGCTTCCAATCCGCCGACGATTCATCGTTCTCATTTACAAACCAATTAAAACGAGCACGACCGGTGTTTACATATTCTGCCCCAATCAGAGGCATCGCATTAAACTCTCCAAACACGGAAAACCGACAATCAATAAATTAACCCGTGCCCGCGCCGCGCCGCTGCCAATTGCCGATCGGTCCCCGCGCGAACGATCGATTCCTCGCCGATCCATCTTCGCCACGGATAAGGCGGCCCCGATTCAAATTACGCTTCCATCGGCTACGCCGGTCCAACGGCCCTTCTCAGCTCATTTCGTGATTCGCTCTTCTACAACGGTAAGATCGTTGTTTTCGCTTCGAAGTCCAAGAATCGCAGCGTCGCCAAGGCGTCGCGTCGTCGAAACCGAGCAAAAGATCTCGATGGGAATGTCTACCAGCTAATTTCTTCGCTTTCCCAGCGTTCCCAGGGGACTCGAGGGTGCTACGTTTTCATTCGATATTTATTGCTCGACCATAGAAACGTCCTCCGGCAATCCCCTCGAAAGATCTCGACGATCCGACAAACGGAGCTCCCAGAATTGCGCAAAGTGCAATCAGAATTGCAACGTTTCCTTAGCTAGAATCCGTTCGCTCGACTTTTGTCGCGCGGATTTATTCCAGCGACGGTCGGCCGCAACGAGAAATACAGAGAAACCGGAGAATACACGATAAAACTTGCGTAACGCGCGTAAACGTTTCAGGTACAATTGTCCAAGAACAAAGCGGGCGGTGGTAACAGGGGGTCGGTCGTTCGTTACTGAAATCGCTCACTAATTAAGTGTAACGAAAAAAATTAACGAGCGGAAACGACCGCGAAGACAAGAGAATAAATACCGGTGGAGGGAGCGGGCCAGAGAACCGGAACGAGATCCAGAAAGAGCGAGAGAGAGAGAGAGGAAGTAGGAGTCTCGTTATAAATTTGTAGAAAACGCGGGTGAATTGGAATGGATGAAAAGCGTTTCAGAGACCGTACACTACGAGAGCGGCTCTGAAGAGATTAAGGAGCGGTGCGGGGGTGGTTGCGGCAGGGACGAAGAAGCCGTCGAGGGTTAAATGACTCGTCCGGGGAATAAGTTTAAGGACCCGACGGTCTGTTTCCTTTCGAAGAAAATTTGCTCGCCAGGCTGCTCGATTATCGTAACATTCCTCCGCTTTTCTCCCTTTCTCTCTCTCTCTCTCTCTCTCTCTCTCTCTTTCTCTCTCTTTCCGGTGTTTTTCCGGGACCGGTAAAAGATATCCTCGATCGCGGATGATCTTTTGGCTCGGCGGAGACGGAACCGTCGCGGGAGGACGGGGCAAGAGCGGAGGAGGTTATTGTCTCTGTTACTTCGAGCCGGGATTGAAACGAGCGAGAAACAATCGGGTCCCTTGGAACATCGTGCCTCGGGCCGAATGCTCGATCGACGATTGGTCATTCTCTGCTGGAGGCATTCTCCTCCGTTTAGGGATTTTTCCGGCCGAGTAGGGGATTTTCGAATCGATGGCGAACGGGGCACGCGAGTCGACCGGGATGCTCGAATGCCGGATTTCGAGATCCGGCTCCGAGCAAGAGCTTTTCCAAATTCTGTTTGTCGAACGTCTGCTTTTCGAATCGACGCGGCTTTCCTCTACGAATCGAGTACTCGACGGGTTTCTCCACATTTCCTTGCTCTTCGTGGAACTTTCGCGAAACAGAGACTTTTGTTCGTTCGAACAACGAGCGTAGAATTTAACAGCGTAACGGAGATTTCGTTTCGAGCTTTCTTTTCAGAAGAAGAAGAAGNCGGGCGGTGGTAACAGGGGGTCGGTCGTTCGTTACTGAAATCGCTCACTAATTAAGTGTAACGAAAAAAATTAACGAGCGGAAACGACCGCGAAGACAAGAGAATAAATACCGGTGGAGGGAGCGGGCCAGAGAACCGGAACGAGATCCAGAAAGAGCGAGAGAGAGAGAGAGGAAGTAGGAGTCTCGTTATAAATTTGTAGAAAACGCGGGTGAATTGGAATGGATGAAAAGCGTTTCAGAGACCGTACACTACGAGAGCGGCTCTGAAGAGATTAAGGAGCGGTGCGGGGGTGGTTGCGGCAGGGACGAAGAAGCCGTCGAGGGTTAAATGACTCGTCCGGGGAATAAGTTTAAGGACCCGACGGTCTGTTTCCTTTCGAAGAAAATTTGCTCGCCAGGCTGCTCGATTATCGTAACATTCCTCCGCTTTTCTCCCTTTCTCTCTCTCTCTCTCTCTCTCTCTCTCTCTTTCTCTCTCTTTCCGGTGTTTTTCCGGGACCGGTAAAAGATATCCTCGATCGCGGATGATCTTTTGGCTCGGCGGAGACGGAACCGTCGCGGGAGGACGGGGCAAGAGCGGAGGAGGTTATTGTCTCTGTTACTTCGAGCCGGGATTGAAACGAGCGAGAAACAATCGGGTCCCTTGGAACATCGTGCCTCGGGCCGAATGCTCGATCGACGATTGGTCATTCTCTGCTGGAGGCATTCTCCTCCGTTTAGGGATTTTTCCGGCCGAGTAGGGGATTTTCGAATCGATGGCGAACGGGGCACGCGAGTCGACCGGGATGCTCGAATGCCGGATTTCGAGATCCGGCTCCGAGCAAGAGCTTTTCCAAATTCTGTTTGTCGAACGTCTGCTTTTCGAATCGACGCGGCTTTCCTCTACGAATCGAGTACTCGACGGGTTTCTCCACATTTCCTTGCTCTTCGTGGAACTTTCGCGAAACAGAGACTTTTGTTCGTTCGAACAACGAGCGTAGAATTTAACAGCGTAACGGAGATTTCGTTTCGAGCTTTCTTTTCAGAAGAAGAAGAAGCGGACGTGCTCGGTTGAACAGATCCTCTTCGCCTGTTCGTAGATCGTTATTAGATCTTTCGCAAAGACTCGCTCACTCTTCTCGGTGAAAAGAAATCCCGTTTACATTTTCTCGCGACAGGAGCGCGCGGATAGCTTTTGTTTTGTTTTAAAGGAACGACCGAAGCTTTTCATTATTTATGGCCCATTGTGGCCCATAGTTGGCCCATTGCGCCGTTTCCTCCCGGAACAACGATTCGTTGATTCTTTAGCGCACGGAGCGGTATCTTTCGCGTTTTATTCATGGGGCAAGCTAGTTTCTCGCGGGCTCTTGCGGGGGGAATTCGATTCCTCTCGGGTTCCATTTTCCCGAAAGAGAGCGAACGCTTTTGTCGTTCGAGAAGCTACCTATTCCGGAGTCTATCGAAAACCGGGTGTTGCGTCCGACGGTGCTTCGATTCTTCCGTACTAAAACATCGACTCTTCCGATTGGATTTAAATTTCATCGATCCTCGTGCTCATCGACGAACCCCTCGGAATATTTCCCCCCTGCAGAGCGTAAACAAAACTACTTCCCTTTGCGAACTCGGCTCGTTGAATTCGATTCGAGGCAAAGGCAATATAGCGATAAAGTTCTAGAGACAATACACCGTTCTATGTCCAATGAAAAGAAAGCACCCTAGGTCGCGCCTCGCGTCGTCTCTGTCACCACCACCACCACCGGATCCCCATAGGTTTACCACTGCCATTTTTAGGCGACGGTTCGCCAGATGCCAACATTTTCCTAGTTTTCAACGAGCGAACGAACGCGTCCTCGGAGGAAATCGAATCCCTTCCCCGACCACCGTGTCGTAACTCACCCCATCCCCGAGTGGATCATTAAGCCCCGCCATAAACGCCACGGTTCTTCGCAAGATTCGTCGCCCTGATTTTTCAAAAATCATTTAGGACGGCCACTGCGATCTCTTCGTCCTCCAATGCGTCGCAAACATCTCGCGACGCTCGATACGAATATCGAACGTCCTCCCTTCGACGCGTTCGATAGAAAAGATCGAAAAGAGTCCGCCTAGAATCATCTCGTCGACGTTCAAGCCCCCGTTCTACAAACTCTAGGATCCTCCGCGAGCTCTCGCGATATCATTAAAAACTGCTTTCTCCGCGGACGAAATTTCCCAAAAACAATCTTCCCGAAAACCAGCGTCACCACAGAGCCCCTTTTGCCAAAGTAACGACACTCCCACCCCCGTAGCGAGACCCCGGACAGATGCGAAGCGTCGCGCGTCCTGCGTGTCCCGAGTGCCCGAAATCCAGCGGGTCGAAACACACAGGAATAGACTGTTCCGCCTCCTCTAGAACGGAGAGTCGTAGGGTAGAAGAGATGGGCGACTTACCCCCGGAAGAACACGCCTCTCACGCGAGAATCTCCATGGCGGTTCGATTCGCTGCGAGTCCGAGTGAGTCACCGTCGAACCGGGGTTGAACGGGTTTTTCTCTGGACGTGGCTAAACGGCCGCGGCGTAGCGAACCGCGAGGACGAGTCGCGGGGGGATGTTTTCGGCCGCCGGAGACGAGATGGACGCGCGCGAACGTCCCTCTGCACCCTCGACAACCGCGAACGACGACCGCGACGCGAGGAGACGACGATGGAGATTCTGCGAGTCGGCACGCGGACGCTATCGACGAATCGTCGACGTCTCGACCACTCGACGAACAACCCGGCAGACGTCGACGGGTGGGAGCCAGGCGTACGACTGATCCTACGCCGGACTCAGCATCCCGTGCGGCCGACACGATCTGCGCGCTGGACCGCCACCTTGCCAGGGGGTCGTGTCGCAGAGGGAGAGAGACGAGGACGGAAGCTGTTTCCGGCGGCGGGGAGCAGAGTGGATCCCCGAGAGAGAAACGAGAGAGAGGGAGAGAGAGAGAGAGAGAGAGAGAATGAGAGCGGGAGCGACGATGCCGGCAGAGGGATGAAGAGGGTGAGACGAGGAGTGGGTGGAGGGGACAGCGTAGCAGAGGGGCGGGGAGGTCGAAGGGAGGCTGGAATTAGGAATGTGTGCGGAGAAGTTTCAGGGAGAGAAATTCTGAGTGTCGGGGTGGGGAGCTCTAGGGGGTGAGTTTGAGCCGGGATCGAACGGAACTGTTAACTTTTATAAATAAAAATTTGCCGTGGCACCGGACAGGCTTCGAACGTGAAATCATTGTGCTAGAATCGTGCGACGAATCCTGTTTCGACGTTTAAACTCCGATAATTTCGTAAACGCGAAGCGGCCTGCGACAATGAACACTTCGACAACAGTCGTTCGGCGATTAATCGCAAATTTGAACAGAGTTCCCCGGCCAGGGGAACAAGGACAGAGAAGAATTCGGAAAGAGAGCGCGGAGTCGGGTTGTTGTCGGACGAGGGAGACTGCGAGAGGGTGCGCGGGCGTGAGGAGGAGATTCTGAATGAAGGCTGAGGTCAGTCCAGGAGCGCCGAGGAGAAAAACAGAGCGAGAGAAAGAGAGATGCAGAGGGAGAGAGAGAGAGAGAGGAGTTTTATGGATTAAGAGGTGAGTCTGGGAATGCGGGGGAGAGGGAGGGATGGTCGAGTTTGAGAACACGGGGAAGGAGACGGAGGAAAGGTTGTAAGGCTTGGGAAAATGAGTTTGGGGGCGATGGGAAGGGTTCGGTTGCGAAGTGGGAGCGTGGTCAGTCTAGGAACATAAAGGGGGTAGGGGAGATGGGAAACGAAAATGAAAAGAGGAAGGAAGAAAATTACATTTTCGGGTTTAAGAGACGAGTCTGGGGTGGGTTTGATAGGAGAAGATAGCGAGGAGACAGCGAGTTTCGGGTTGCGAGATACGGTAGATCCTGAACGAAGATTGATTAAACCGGGAATATAAGGAAGAAACGAGACGAAGGAGGTTCGATGGTCGATGGGGGATGGATTTCGAGAGAACGAGAAGAAAGATGCGCGCGAGATCCGGCCAGGGAAGAAGAAATAAAAATTCAGGATGAAACGAAGCAAACCTACGCGTACGTGGACGAGCAAGGACTCGGGGCGAAGGGAAAAGTTTCGAGATAGGGGTGCTAGGAACGATATACGCCGGACAACGGAATAATATTAAACGGTGGAAGTTTGCTCGAGCGCGGAAAGAAGAAACGAGGCGGGAAAGAATTGAATTAGGGATGCAGACTGGTAGAGGAGGAGTGTTGTGCCAATAGGGAGCGAGTCGTGGGATTTAAAAAGGATGCAGTCGGAGCCGGAGCAAGAGGTTATTGGCTGACGAGGGTGAATCCGTAGACCCGGGTGGAACAGAAGTAGACTTCAAGCGAAGAGCGAGGCGAGTCTAAGCACACGGAAAGGACGCGAACAGGAGTCACGGGTCTAAGGGAGACCCGCGCGTCCGCGGACGCGTTGCTGGAACCGGATTTCCTTTGACTTACTCTCTCATGAAATATCCTTTAAAAGCTGCTATCGGCACGGACCGGAGCTGTCCGATGGACGAGACAGGATCGATCTCGAGAGAAGCCTGGGAGAAACGGGGAACGCGATGGATCACGGTGTTGCGAAGACGCGGAAGCACGCGCAGATCCGGCGAAGAATTCGACGGTCGAGGTATCGAATGGTAAACTGCCTTTAAATTCTTTCGAAGGAAGGCGGCAGGACCGATGGAAAAAACGGCTACGTCCGACGAGCGAGGCGACGCGACAGCGCGAACAACGGTCCAATCAAAGAGTTACTAGACCACGATAACGGCGCGGGAGCTAAATTGAAAGATAAAGACCGAGTGCTTTAGACGAGTCAATAATATAATAGCGATGCTGATTCTTTGTTCCACCACTTAGCGACAATGAGAGCCGTCCGAAAAGAAACGACGCGACAAACGACCGGCCAACGTGGGTTTCACGGTCGATCGGCGTTACCCATTAGGAGAATGGGGGACGGAGGAAAACCAGCGACGGGAACTAGCAAAGAAATAGGTTCGCCGACGGGGCGACAGGCTGGGAACAAGGAGCACGAGGCGGCGCGGCTCGACGCAACGGTGCGATGGCGTGGCGTCACGAAGACGAAGGGGAGCCATCGTTCCAGGGAAGTTTTGAACCCGCCGCCATCGGAGGAGGTGAGAACGGGGGAGAGACAAGATAGGGGAGACTGACGACGGTTCGTGAGTGGAAATATAAGGAAAAACCAGAGTGCCGGAATTAAGGCGAACCGCGCCGAGCCGACGCCGTCGAGCTATTCTTTCGCGCCGTGTTTTCGCGGATCGGTCCGACAACGAAATTCGACGGCTTTTTCTGCAACGAAATATAGGGCGAACGTTCTGCGCGAGCCTGCGACGACGAAATCGCGGAACCAGAATCTCGGAGCCGAAACAAACGCGGAGGAACGAACGCGGAAACGGCGGTGCCGGATAAACACCTGCGAGTAGAACGGCACCGGAGGAAGATTAAAGGACAGGTAGCAGAAGCGTCTGCGAACGCGCGAGCGAAACGAGCGAACGAAAAAGCGCGAACGGGGACGTTATCGACGGAGGGACAGAGAGAGAGGGACGCGAAGAGGAAAGGGGGTTGGTAGAACTACAAACATAGAGAAACGCGACAAAGGGAGAGATCAAGGGACGCCCGGACAGAGGGGAGCCGCGTTTAAACAGCGGAGAAGCTACGAACGCGGAATAGAAGGTCGGCGGAAGGTCTAGGAGCGAAAACTGGATGGAGATGGAGCATTGTATGCGGAAAGAAGCGGGGTGAAACGAGGGTTGAAACGGCGGCGGGCCGTGGCGGGCCGCGGGTGTTCTCACCGGGAACAGCGAAGCCGAGCCACGGATAGCGACGGGTCCGAGAACGTTCTCGCTCTCGCTCTCGCTCTCTCCCTTTCGAGCAAGTTCGAAGCTACAGGCTGTCTCGGACAACTCTCTTCGGTGATCGACGCGTTTTCTTCCTCGTCGCGTCGACGAATCGTTACCCTTGTTTTCGCAGAATTCTGCAGAAAGCTCCTAGGACTTCGCGAACATCTTCGTTCGCCAAAGTTGATTCTATCGAAGTTGTACAATTTTTAGCGAAGCCGAATCGTGCAAGGGCTTGAACGGGTTCGAACGGAGCGCGAACCCGTCGCTGGGCGCAGAAACGGGAAGAGGAACTAGGAACGCGAGCTAAAACGATAGTGGAAAGTCCGCGGGGGTGTGAGAGGCGGGGGTTGGATGAAAGTTTCGAGCGAGAGGAACCGAGCGAGGATAATGGCGGATGAGAAGAACGAATTGGGCAGGTTCTGGCCGTGTACGAAGCTAGGGAATTCGGAGAAACGAAAAATATGAAAAGTTTTTTAATAATTCCGAATGGATATCGCGCGTGGACGTCGCGCGGGCGTTCCCGCGTTACGTCGAGGATATATGAACGACCTTTTACGAATTCGTGTCCACGAAACGTTCTAACAGGATCGCCGACGTTCGGCGAATATTTCCGATTCGTTGGCGATCCAGAGAAATTCTTTCTTCGAATGAAATCGCGACCGTTCGGAGGCTCGTCGACCGAGAACAGCGTTCGTTTCCGCGAAAGATGCGGCGAGAACGGTCTCTCTGCTCGAACTTGACGATGCTAACGGATAAAATTGAGTACCCGAACAAACAACGATCGAGCTACGGTCTCGGCGATAGCAGCGACCGACGAGGGTTTCCGGAAGAAAGATATAATCGGATCAATTTGCCATCGGATCGTAAACGAGGATGATCGCGGTTCGAGCGGCTCCGTTAATCACCGGTGATTGCTACCCGTAAAACATGCGAACAATGGCGGAGGCTCGAACCAGAAGGAGTACTTACGGATCACCCTGTACAATGTAATCGACAGATTACCGATATCGAAGTCATTTCGATTTTGTGCCGCCGCGTCGCACCGCGCCGAGCCGCGCCGCCTCGGTTGAAACGAAGCAAGATGGAAACACGGACGGTGATAAAAGTAGAAACGTACCGGGGGGTGGACGCGAGAGAGATGGGTCGTGGGAAGGAGCAGAGAGACTGGGCTAGGGGAACACAGAGAGGGTACGCTGAAAGAGGGGCGAACACGGAGAAAGATAAAAGGAAGGTCGGGGGTGGTTGCGATACAAATAGAGAAGGGTCGTACGTCGCGTCGGAGAGAGACGGAGGCCGGGACGGAGATCGAGAAGGAAGGAGAAAAGGGGAGAGAAAGAGAGAGAGGGAGAGAGAGAATCCGGGATCTGCGCGCGTTCCGAAACGTGCGGGAAGATGAAAGATGCCAAGATGCGACGTGGATAAAGAATTTCAGAATTCAGGCGAGTTTAGAATACGAGAGAACGGAAGCTGAGAGGGATAATACAGGGATAGAGCGAGAGAGAGAGAGAGAGAGAGAGAGAGTCCGCTATAGGTTCGAAGTACAGTAATGTCTCTCTAATTGACGCTCAGATTGTCCACAAAAATGGACAATTTGGGAAGTGGAGATACGATTGCGGTTCGTTTTTATAGTTACGAATTGTCAACAACTATAAAATCGAGCCGCGAGGCTCGAATAATCGTATCTCCTCTTCCCAAATTGTCCATTTTTGTGCACAATCCTCGGATTGTGGATTGCTCGGGTCAGTTAGGGAGACATTACAGATCGGAGCAGCACTGGTCGGACGGGTCTTTCTCCAGAAGTTGCGAGGCCGAAAGGACTTGTTCCAGGTTGTCCTGGGAGATTCGAACGAGGTTAGACAGGTCCGTCGAGGGTTCCAGGACACTCTCGAGACCTTTTCGATCCTACCCACTCTTCGAAGGTATCCAAGACGGCTTTCGGCAAAGTTTTCGGATACTTTCGACCTCCTTCGAA